TTTTACAGATTAAAGTGTAAATTATACAGATTAAAGTGTAAATTTTACACATTAATGTATAAATTTCACAAATTAAAGTGTAAAATTTACACTTTAATGTGTAAAATTTACACATTAAAGTGTAAAATTTACAGATTAATGTGTAAATTTTACACATTAAAGTGTAAAATTTACACTTTAAAGTGTAAATTTTACAGATTAATGTGTAAAATTTACAGATTAAAGTGTAAATTTTACAGATTAAAGTGTAAATTATACAGATTAAAGTGTAAATTATACAGATTAAAATGTAAAATTTACAGATTAAAGTGTAAAATTTACAGATTAAAGTGTGGAAAATGAAAAATAAAAAATTGTCCAAGTGGCACTAATACGCTTCCGTAAATACGCTTCCGTACCTTACAGAAAATTTAAAAAAAAATGATTTAATTAGATTTAAAAGAAGAAGAAAAAAATATTAAAAAAAAAAACAAAATGCCTAACATTTAAAAAAAAGTTATTAATGAAAAATAATGAATAAAATACACTTACCTAGAAAGAGGCGAAGAGTTGGTATTAAGTTTGTGATGGTTATTATTCAAGCGCAATCACGAAAAGTGATGCGCGTCGCCCAACTCTCGACCGTTGACAAAATTTAGTTCATAAAAAGGTTGACCAATAAAAATTTCTAAAATTGCGGAATACTGAGAAAAAGGAATAAAAAGGCGTTAACGCGTAATAATAAACCCAATTATAAGTGTGAAACTACTTTTTCCTAAAAGGGGCTCAACTTGAGTAAATAAGACACTGACATGACACTTGTGTTTTTATAACTAAGTAGTCGGCAATTACAAATCACAAAGAAAATGTTCACATCAAAAGAAAATTAATGAATGGATTATCCATCTGTTGACATTTGATGTGTAAAATTTGTTGATTTCTGTGATTGTTGATTTCTGTGTTGATCAGCATCATTGTGATCTGGGGTAGGTTGGTCATTGTGAGGTGGTGCATCTCGATGAGGTTGATTGTTCTGGGGTGGGTCATCATCTGGAGGTGGATTGTGGTCATCAGTTGCATTTTCTGGTGTCGGACCATCCAACTTCTGTCGAATTTCATCTGGAGGATAATATCGTTTGAGATTTGAGGCATTCATCATCATGGATGGGTGAAGTTTGTTGTCTGAGACACTCCGTAATTTATACGTGAAGTTCGGCCCTCTGCCAACAATTCTGTAGGGTCCAAATGACTTGTCATAAAGCTTTTTGGAGAGACCTTTAGGCACCATATGGTTCTTCATAAGAACAAGATCTCCAGATCCAAAGTCAGGTGGTTTGGCATTTTTGTCATGATACGCCTTGTTTTTAGATTGATTTGCAAGGTCATTTACTTTGGCATGTCCGTGGAAATTTTGAGTCTCTGTAATAATTCCTCCACGTATTGTTTGGCATCTCGTTGTAGAGTCTCTTTAGGTTGAAGGGTTGCATCAATAGGTAGTCGCATTTCTTGGCCAAACATTAGTTCAAATTGTGAAAATTCTGTGGAGCCAAGATGTGGAGACTTACGAAACGACATCATTATACCTGGTAAGAGTTTTGGCCATATATCTTGTTCGTTGGCGTAATAGGCACGCAGCGACTGGGCAATGGTGCTGTTCTGTCTCTCTACTAGTCCATTGGTGTTAGGATGGTATGATGATGTATGATACTGTGTGATCTCGAAAATCTCACACATGGCATAAATCAGTTTGGACATAAAGTTCCTTCCACGATCAGACATCAATACCAAGGGTGAACCATATCTGGCAAATATGTCTTTGAACAGGACTTCAGCAACTTCCTTTGCTTCTTGAGTTCTTAGAGGAAAGGCCTCTGGCCAGCGAGTGAATGAATCAATACACAGTAGAATGTATTCATACCCCTCCGGTGACTTTTTCAGTGGGCCCAGTATGTCAATTTGCCAGCTTTCGAACTTGTCTTGACGTGGCATGGATGTCATAGGTGGTTTGGAAGGATGAAAGTCTCTCTTGGCTCGTTGACATCTATCGCAAGAACGGACATAATCAATTATGTCTTGGTTCATTCTAGGCCAATAATATTTCTGCATGATGGAGGTTCTCACTTCGTCAATACCAAGATGGCCACCACCAGCTAGACTGTCATGGTAAGCAAAGAGGGTATTCTTGCGAAGCACTCTGGGCAGTGCTAGCTGGTATATGAACTTTAGTTGTTGTGGTTGTTTCTTGCAGCGTCGTTGAAAGAGGTGGTAAAGTAGCTGATCCATTATGCACTAATGTTGAGATTCTGACACAATTTTGTTTCTGAGTTTTCGGTCTTCAGGTAAGGAGGCATCTGAGAGGTATTTTATGATGTCTGAGTAATCAGGGCATTCTGATTGCAGTTGGAACAAGGAGTCTTTATCCTGCAGGATTTGATGGATTTCATCATCTTCTTATGCCATTATGAGTGTGTCTGGTTCTTCGTAAGAGAACATGACTTGGATACCTTCTTTCTTTAAGATCTCTGTTGTATATCAGATTTTGAGAAAGTTGAGGTTCAGGTGCAGTTGAAAGGTCCGTGGAGACAGTTGAAACTGTAGGTGTTCATTGCTGAGGTGTCAATGGAATTTGACCGAGAGCATCTGCAACACAGTTCTTCTTGCCAGGCTTATGAATAATGTCGAAATTGTATTCTTGAAGTTTTAAGGCCCATCGCTCAAGTCGTCCTGTATGTTTTGCGGTTTTGAGCCAAATGAGTGCTTTATGGTCTGTGTATATTGTGAACTTACTTCCTGCTAGGTATGGACGGTATGCCTCTACTCCACGCACAACAGCTAATAATTCTTTCTCTGATGTAGTATACTTTTTCTCTTCATGTGTAAGGGTTTTCCCCCCATAGGCTATAACAGTTTTTTTGTTGTCAGCTGTCTTCTGTCCAAGTGTGTACCCAATTGCTGCGTCTGAAGCATCACAGGCTAATATGAATGACTTAGCTGGATCAGGATAAGAGAGGACTGGCGCAGTGACCAGAGCATTTTTCAAGGTGTCAAATGATTGTTGACACTCTGGCGTCCATTGGAACTTCGCAGTCTTTGCAAGAAGGGCATTGAGTGGGGCAGCTATTTTTGAAAATCCTTCAATGAACTTCTTGTAATAGTTGGCCATGCCAAGAAAGCTGCGCACTTGTTTCTGAGTTCTTGGTGCTGGGTATTGGTTGATGACATTAGTCTTGGTAGGATCAACTTCTACTCCATTTCTGGTAATTATATGGCCAAGGAACTTCAGTTCTTTTAAAGCGAAATGGTATTTTGATGGCTGAAGCTTGAGGTTGGCTAGCTTTAACCTATTGAAAACCTCTTGAAGGTGTTGAAGATGGATTTCAAAGGATGGGGAGAAAATGAGAATGTCATCAATATAACACAGCACAAATTTCCAATTAATTCCTCTTAAAACACTTGTCATGAGAGTCTGGAATGAAATAGGAGCATTCATGAGGCCAAATAGCATCCTTTTCCACTCATACACTCCACTCTGGGTGATGAATGCAGCTTTATGTTTTGTAGCTTCATCCATGTCTAGCTGCCAAAAGCCACTTTTTAGGTCCAGTGAAGAGAAATACATTGGCGTTGAAGCTCCTAGTGAATCAAACACATCATCCAATTGAGGCAGAGGAAAAGACATAGGAATGGTGGATTTATTAAGTTTCCTGTAGTCTACTACAAATCTGAATTCACCATTTGGTTTTTTCACTAGAAGGACTGGAGAATGCCATTCAGAGTTGGATGGTTCTATAATGTCATTCTGCAGAAGCTCTTGCAGCTGGCGATCAATTTCCTTCTGGTTTTGAGGTGTTGTCCTGTAGTGAGGCAACCGAACTGGACGTGTACCAGGCAAAGTGTCTATTTTGTGTTTATAGAGAGCTGTTCTTCCTAGTTCACTCAAATCTGAGGCAAAAGTGTCCCTTTGTTGGTGTAAAAAGTCTAAGAGCACAGACTTTTGTTGAGATGAAAGATCAGACTTGGTGAAATCAAAATCAAGTTTGTTGTTTTGCATTGGAGACGGGGAATTAGATTCTGAGGTACATGGGTTGAAGGCAAAGATGTGTTGTTCATCTACTTGAATGACAGAGGCAAGGATTTCTTTTGCATTGATTTGGACATCTGAGTGGGTAGGGTTCATGATCCTTAAACAAGTTTTGCCCTTGTCCAACTGAACAAGACATCTGGCTGCAATTAGATGTTTGTTGTATGCTAGGGAAGCAATTGGATCAAGAAGAACATTGTTTCCATCTTTCAAATGGGACACATTGACAATAACATTGGTTTCACTACGTTTTGGTATGATTGTTGTTGCGGCTGCTCTAGCTTTGCCATCAGATGCTGATATGAGATTAACGCATGTCACATCCTGGTTTTCATCAGGTAGTAGTAATAAATTTGAAGAAAAGTCAATGTGAGCCTTATGTTTGTTGAGAAAATCCACCCCAAGAATAAATGGATAGTGTAAATCCTGGATGATGTGAACAGGGTGAGAAAAAGTGACACCATTGATTGAAATTGGCAAAGAAAGCACACCCAGAACATTAAGTCTAGCACCTGTAACACCTTTGATTATTGGGTGAATGGGAGGTTGTCGCTGAACATTTGATAATTTTGTTTTGCTGATAAATGAAGCACTTGCAACAGTGATGCTTGCACCTGTGTCTAGCAATGCATTAGTATGTCTTCCCTTAATAGAAATTTGAACTTTATTTTGCTGTAAAGTTGTAGCCAAATTAATTGAAGGAGCAGATTTAGAGCACTTTGAATTTTGTTGTTTTGCATTTACCATGTGCCCATCCCTAGATTTGACTCTAAGAACAGGCCCGAGTCCCTAATGTGATAAATTTAGGCGTTCAAGGAAATAATTAAAACAAACTTGATCAAAGTGATTAGGTTTATGACATTTTTGACAAGTGTATCCCCTGGCAGGACAAGTTGCTTTAAAAAAACATGACTTACTTCCACAACCATTGCAGTATCCATTAGGTCGGGTTGACTGGTTGCCGCCTGCCGGGGGTGTAGTTGGCTTGCTGTTGTGGTTTGCGGTTATATTGTTTCGGACCACGATTGTACGGCTGTTTTGCAGGGTGGTATGAATGCTGTGGCCCAAGGTGGTATGGCTGTTGAGGGAAAGACTGGTATGGCTGCTGTTGAGGTACAGGCTGGTATGGCTGTTGTGGTGCTGGGTTGTACATCTGTTGTAGTACAGGTTGAAACTGTTGGACAGGTGCTTGTTGGGTTGCACTTCGAGAATATTCAAGGTTGAGTTGCTTAGCTGAGGCTTGTGATGGATATGTATTCATAGCTGCAATAGTTTGCTGAAGTTGTTTGGTGACATCACACACAGCTGTCATTGCATTCTAAACACTGTTTTCAGAAGCACTAGTTGAAATAGTCTGCTTATTCATTTGCACAGTCATTTCAACAATGGTTGATTTAGTACGTAGATCGTCAATTGTTTGTACAAACTGGGGCATCACAATATTTCGCACAGCTGGTGTCAAACCTTTCATTATCATGGTTGTTAAACAGTCCTCCGGCATGGTTGAGTCTACAGCAAGTTTCCTTATTCGGGTTATGTATTGTTCCACAGTTTCACCATCTTTCTGAATGATGTCCACTAGGCCGAGGCTAAATGGAATCTGTGGCCTAAAGCGATTGAGGAATGAAGTTTGGAGGTTATCCAATGACGACGTAACATCTGGAGTTAAGGTGAAAAACCAGTCCCGTGCAGCATCTTTCAGGTAGAAGGATAAATAGCTACCAATATTCTGGAATGGAACGTTCATGAGAGAAACGAAGGTCATAAACTGAGTCCAAAACTGGATGGCAGATGTTTTGCCATCATACTTTTCCAAAGTAATATTGGCACGTGGGGATGGGGTAGGAGCTGGCACAGGAACCTGAATTGTCTGCACGACTGGAGGTTGATATATTGCTGGTGCAGGTGGAATTGTCTGTTAAGTTGTCACTGGCTGCGGAGCTTGCTGAAGGGATTGCTGTACTGCCAAGGGATGTGGTACTTGTTGTAGGGTTTGCTGAACTGTCACAGGTTGTGGTGCTTGTTGTAGGGTTTGCTGAACTGTCACAGGTTGTGGTGGTTGTTGAAGGGGTTGCTGCTGCACTGTTAAAGTTTGCAATTCTGAAGGGAGGGTGTGTTGAATAATCATTGGTTGTTGTAGTGCTGTAGGTGCTTCTTGTACCATAGTGGGTTGTAGTGCTGATATAACATTTGCAGATGTAGCATATATTGTAGACCGGGCTGGTGATGGAGGAAAGATATTACCAGTAGAGTGTTCAGAAGTCAGCACACTTTGATTTTGTTGTTGTACTTCGTCTGCATTGTCTGTGTCGATTTGAGTGGGTGGTGGAGGGGGAGGAACTTGGGGTGGCATCATATTAGAGGCACCTGCAGACTCGGCGATGGTAGTATTAGTTGCTGTAGCTGCTACAGTTTGTTTAGTCTGTGATTTGGAGGTTGATGCCTCAGAAATGTCTTGCTGATAATTAAGTGGCACATTGGGTTTATAATTTAGACGCCTTGCCAGGATTGATGATTGGTTTCTTAATATTGGCATTTTCACACTTGTACTTCACGTCTGTAAGTGAAAAGTGTTGTTTTTGATGTAAGGAAATCTTGTAGAGATGAGGGGAATGGTAGAGCGTTTGCTTCGCTGTGAGAGGTTGGATCGAATGGATCTCCGCCACTTTGTCTCATACGATTTAGTATGTTTTAGCACATTGACCACTTCGGCAATGAGACATATGTAAATGTTCTTGTCAATTAGACTGTCCTGGTAACGGTTTGTCCTTGACCTAGAAAGAGGCGAAGAGTTGGAATTCAGTTTGTGATGTTTATTATTCAAGCGCAATCATGAAAGTCAATAAAGATACATTCCAAAGTCTCGTTTCAACAGAATACCACAATAACATCACTGAAGAGACATAATTTGTCGAAATGCGCATCTGGTGCATCAAAATTGATACCGTAAAATACCGTAAAAATTAATCAATCAAATGTAAAAAAGCCGCATTTTGGTAAAGACTTGAAGTTTGTTTATAGTAACAAAAGACATTGGTAAAGATTTTTGAGCTAATCACTTTTTGTGCCCCTGCTATCGAAGGTGAGAGTCATATTGTTTTAGTTCCATTTTTTCATGCAAATCTATTTGGGCAGGGTTCCAAAACGTTAACCTTTCTTATAACTTCTGAAGAAAAAAAAGAAGACTTTTTTATTTGTTGCACATTGTTTTATCAAAGAGGATTACAATGAAAGCTATACATTTTTTTTATTTATGTTTCTTTTTCTTACACCAGCTTAGAAAATTATCTTGATTTTTTAAATAAATACAACAGTGGAAACTTATTCTATTAAATGTGACAAAACAAATCAAAGAATGTGGGTATCTTTTACGGTACCGTAAAAGATTTACACTAATAGTCATAGAACATCATTAAGGTCATATATGGCGTATTTTTTTTTTTGTAAGTTCAGACTAACTATGATCTTTTTATTTGTTTAATTACTTTATATAAAGATAGGACTTTCCTGTAAAATACACCTGGTCCATTTAAATCAATCACGTTTCAAAGCGATTTATTTACCGACTCCGCATTTAAATAACGGACATAGTTTAAAGTCAATTTAACTAAGGAAACATGAAGTTATTCAAGTTCAAAATCGGTGAAAATTTTCATTTGAACGTAAATAACATATATCACGTTTATCTACACTCAATCTCGTATTTTTTTTTTTTTAGCTCAGATACGCCATATATAGCTTTAATGGGGATAAATCATCTTACATTATTAATGTAAAGTAAAGTATAAACTTTTAATTTTGTCATCTAAACTTTAAAGCGTTTAGAAATGAACACTTCATATCATAAGACTGCGTGATTTAACCCCTTAATATTTGCCTAAAAAGAGTTTTCCTACCAAAACCATGCATTTTTTTAATATCAAAAAAAAATGACACAGTGTCATTATTTTACATTATTATACCTCCAATTAGAATGAAAGAATCTGATTGGTTGATGAGAAAACATTAAAATTAGCTTATGACCCGTTTTTGCGTCACATGACCATTAATGACTTGATTGTTGCATGTGTATGAGATATTGACCGGTCATTAATATTATTGACCGCTGAACCTGACCTGTGCAGAAAATAAAAATCGCGGAACATATGACCGCTTCGTTTTTTCTTCATGTTTACTGTACCGTTTTTAGATAAAGACTATAACTGTATGTTATTCTTGAGAAATAAGATATAGACTAAAAAATTGTGTACTACGTCACTTCTCATGTGTAATTTGTCGTCTGTTTTACAAATAACGATGGCTGGCGAATCGAGGTTTGCAACTCTGACAAGTGAGGAACTACAAGCAATCCTAGAAAACCGCGATAGTTCCAACACAAAACAATGTATAGACTCAGCGAAACGAGTGTTCATTACATACTGCACTGAAAAAGGACTGATTGTGGACAACATACTGCAAAAAACAAAAGGTGAAATTGCTGAAATTCTGATCAACTTTTACGCTGAACTCCGAAGAAAAGATGGTGAATTGTATAGTAGATCTTCCATGATCAGCATCAGGTTTGGTTTGCAGAGATTTTTCCAAAAAATTAACTATGACATTATTAATGACCCAGATTTTCGTCTATCAAACGAAATGTTCAAGGCAATTTTGACAAACATCAAACGAACTGGGAAGGGAACCACTCAACACAAGGAAATTATCAGCGATGCTGACATGGCAACATTGTATAGTAGCGGCGTCCTAAACGGAAACAGTCCACAGGGATTGCAATATAAAGTTTTTCTTGATGTGATGTTCTACACATGTAGAAGAGGAAGGGAAAATCTGAGAAGTATGAAGAAAACTGATTTTGTTTTGAGGACAGATGGCCAAGGAAGGAGGTATTATCTTAATGTCGCTCAGTATGAAACCAAAAATCACAGAGGAAGTGACGTGAATGACCATGATGCATCTTCAGCAAAAATATATAAAATACCAGGTAATATACTTCTTGAAATACATGTAAAATAAAATTAATGTAAATTTCAGTATTAACTAATTTTAGATCATATATTTGTCTATGTGACATAATTTTCATGAATTCAACTGATTTACAATTTTTCATATTAATATGTCCATGTAGGTGATGAGAAGTGTCCTGTGTCTAGTCTGGAGAAATACCTCGGAAGCTGAATCCAAATTGTGAAAGTTTTTGGCAGAGACCGAAGCGCCATATCAACGATTCAGATGCTGTTTGGTATGACAATTCTCCAGTAGGTCATTATACTTTGGGAAATTTTATGAAAACAATATCTATGAAAGCCGAACTCTCAACACTCTGTATACAAACCACTGCATACATGCCACATGTATTACTAGTTTGGATCAGCGTGGGATAGAAGCTCGACACATCATGTCTGTCAGTGGACATAAGTCCGAAACTTCCATAAAAGCTATTCAAGATGTGTAAGTGAAACAAAAAAGCAAGAAATGTTTGATGTATTGTCGTCTGTGGTTTACCCATCACAAAAGCTAGGGCTAGAAAACCCAGTTGTTCCAACAAAGTCTTGTACCAGTACTTCAGAAAGTCAGCTCTTAAATTTGAATAACTGTGAATTTGAGACTGTCAGGACCAAACAATTGCTATCTGAAGTCCTACATGATGAAAATGGTTCAGATTTGTTTGCAAATGTTCCAGAAGAAAAGGAGAATGATAAAGTTGACCAAACGCCTCAAAACTCTTGTAGCCCATTATTCAAAAATGTTGGTCAAGTGCACATTCACTATTACATGGGAAAAGAACAATAAAAGTAAAGATACTGTAAAGTTCTTTATTGGACTCTGTAAATCATTTAATGATTCAAGGATGTGTTTTTCCACTTTTCAATTGAACATTCAAATTCAAAGTTATTGATGCTTAAATCGTTATTTCAGAATATGCATTATTCTGTTGAAATAAAATGTTACATATGTGTTAAAATTTATTATTATTATTATTGTCGGTATAATAAAACAATTGATCACCCTTCATGAGGTCAGCATGGTGAAATGATTCCCCTTGACCTGACCCACTCGATGACCTGACCTGACCTCGGCTGTTGGCCTCGGTCAGGTCAGGTCACCTCGTGGGTCAGGTCTCGGGTCATCATTTCACCATGTTGACCTCATGAAGGGTGATTAATTGTATAGGTCATTTTTCTACAATCCACATGGATAAAAATGACGCCAAGGCCATAATTTCAACAAAAAATTGGGTCTTTTTTTCTACGTACATGTAGAATATTGACCAGGGGGTGAAATTTGAATTTGAAAAAAAAAAAAGATCCACGGTCAATATTCTACGGGGGTCACTTTACGTCGTTACACCGAATGCCCCCCCTCCCCCTCCCGATCACGCCAAATCTTTATGTGCGCGCAAAGCTTAAATTTGATAGCCTCATGATTTTGTTATGTTGTCAATTACACGGGCATTAATATAAAATTCCTATTTGCCGCCTTTTTGGAACTACACCCCTCTCCATCGACCACTGATAAAAGGCAAGGTTTGCATAAAATTAGTACTTCCTTATTTTTTTTTCCGTATTGTCATAGTTGTATAGTGTACAAGTGCCTAGGCATTTTTCTGACACGTAAATATATTGTACATTTAACAGTGCATTATGTCTTCTGTCGATCAGGTCGTACGCAAATGTGGCTAATCGAAAAAAAAATACAGATTATACATTTAACATACATGTACACTATAAATTTATTATTAAACACGGAAATATAAATGTTCCTATCACATGTAACGTCTGCTGACAATGAGGGAAGTACGTGTACGCATAGTCACATGATATCAGATTGCATCAAGTGTTGTTTACATACGGAACCATTGACCACACTGGTAAGAATAAATGTCAATACACATTGTATATACATCTTATTTATATCTGTCAAAATGTTAAAATCTGCCCTTCTAAATCGTACATTAAAGACAAATTTAACAACGTAGATTTGAACTTTCATCATCGGATATCTTAAAATGACCCCATGTTGACGAATGTGCACGTTAGAGTATCTTACTCATTTCAACACTTGATTTGTTTATATGTAGAAAACACTGACAGAACGATAGATTAAAATACAATGAGTTATCAGCCACCCGCGGGATCTTACCAGCAAACCCCACCTCCCTATCAGCAGTATGGTGGGGCCCCGCCGGCAGGGGCATACCTCGGACCACAAACAGGGGGATATGGTCCGTATCAACAACCTCCGGCAGGGGCATACCCTGGACCACAAACAGCGGGGGGATATGCTCCCTATCAACAACCTCCAGCAGGGGCATATCAACAACAACCCACAACAACAGTGTAAGATATATTTCATTCTAGATTTAAAAACTTGTTTGTGTTCATCTTAGATTCTTTATTCTTGATTTTTGGTTATGGTTGCTGATCAAATGAATCTGATTAAAAAAAAATCATTTAATCCGCTCCCGTAAATCGGTAACAAGGGTTTGACTTGCATATGGGGTTTTGTTGGAGCGGATCAAAGGTCAAATTTTAATTAGATTGGGTTAATATGCATATTTGTTAAACAGTGTAAATTGAACAAGAGTTCTGACTCTTGATAAATTCTCAGACAGACAAGTCACACAAGTCAGATAATTTTTAAAACTATTTTTAAATGACGAAAAAGTAGCTTTAAGACTGAATGAGTTTCACCGGTCTGAATGAGTTTTTGTGACCGGTCTCCAGTTAATACTTATTCCTCCTAGGCACCTGATCCCACCTCGTGAATTTCCAGGGGTCCGTTTTAGGCCACAAATTTGTATTGTTTGTAGGATTTTTGAGATCGATCACTGCATTATATTCACCTATTTCATTACTTATTTACATACGTATTTGAGACAGTGTTACATGTAAGGCTATCCGTTGCTGAATAATAATTTTACCTCCAATTTCACACAACATAGCTGTATCAGTGATAGAGGACAAACGAGAAATTATATCCGCTTATGTACATGTAACAGGTGTTAATCAATCAATAATTTCAATATTAAGGATATTTTCGCGTAGTACAGAGGATTTCCTATTGTTTGTGTTTGGATATAATTTTTATCTAACGGGTTGTTTGTTTTTTTTTTATCCCCGAGCGAAATCGTAAGTTGTGCGTATGTGCTACGAATGAGAAAGTAATCATATTTCATGTGAACGTCAGAATGAGACTTGCATAAGATTTAAATTAAAATGTTCAAACGACAAAATAAGTTTAAACAACGTAATATCTCGTGCAAACAACTTAATATTTTCAAGAGTATATGAGTAGAAATATTAGCATGTCCTAAATATACCACCGTATGTAGTTAGCAAGAGATATAGATTTCATTTTTTAAAAACATTTATTTTTGTACATGAAATATATGGAGATAACGAACAGTAATCGAGCTCAAAAGTCCATTAAACAATACAAAATAGGAGCAGAGCAAACACGGACCCCCAAACATCAGAGGTGGGATCAGGTGCCATGGAGGTGTGAGCATGCCCTGCCGACCGGTCACATCCGCCGTGTGCTCCTTGTCATGATCGGGAAATAACGGAAAAATCCGTCGACAATTCAGTGTGTAAACAATGGCCTAACAATTAGTATGAAAAACGTCAGTCAGCATTTGACTCAATGATAAATTGTATTTGCTGACAAGGTCATTGTATCGACCATAGAACTTAAGAAATGATGACTTTAAACGAGACAGCTGATATTCTTGTTTCATCAACTTGTTTGTCAATAATTTACCTCGTTTTAGAAATTGTACATACGTAGAGCATGCTCTTGCGTATCGAATCAACTGAGAGATATATACCCCGTATGCAGGTGATGAAGGTATATTGCTGCATAAGTAAGGGAAGTTGACGATTGAAAATTTAAAGTCATCACGTTTATCATAAAGCTTGGTTGTTAGACTACCATTAACGTCTTTTTCAAGTAAAATATCCAAATATGAAACAGATGTGTCAGACTCTGTGGTATCTTTTATCTCAAGCTCACCGGGATATATCATATCGACATAAGAATGGAAATAGCCATTGTTAATTGACAATACGTCTACATACAGCTGAATGTTCAATATGACTTTATTAATTATACAAAAAGGACAAGTGCACTTAAGCAATGCTTAATGGGCCCTTTTTCAGTGCCGTTTTACTTTAGAATATTTTACCAAATTGTTCTTTTTTTGGTAATAGTTAAACACAAGTGGATACTTCTAATTAAAATCACGTTAAAACATCACCTAAATCAGCATGGTTTTGAAACAAATGAAGATTTTAAAATGCCTGTAGATACCCCAAATCCGGAAAAGTCGTACCGAACCTATTTTGAGTTTCGTTTATTTAAATCAAGGGGAGGAGACATTTTAATCGGACACTTGAACAATCTGATGGTGGATCATTGACGGGCGCGTTTTCCGAATGATAATCTTGCGCTATTTTACCTGAGAAAAAAAATCGAATGAAGTTGTATAGATGCCTGTATTCATAGTTATCAAACTAAGAAATTTGCACGCTTGCATTTGAAATAATACAATAAGTATTAACATTAGTTCCTTTAAATTTTAAAAATAAAAAAAAAGTGTAGTTATGTGGCTTTCAATACTGGTACAATTGTCTTGCATGAATGTTAAAAATGTTTGACGCTTTTATGTATGATGACATTTTAACGACACTAAACTCTCCTAACCCTCCCGTGTTCCTAAAACCAAATACATACAAACTTCTCTATGCGGCACGACTTCGATATAATGATACAAAACGTGAGCACCTTTGAGGAATGTTTACCTGGGTAGAACTCACGTGACTACCGGTATTTTAAATAATTTATTCCACGGGTGGGTTCAACAAAGGTCATAAAGGTAAATAGCTCTCGCTTGCTATAGAAAAAACATTGAACTTTTCATACATTTTTAATATTTTAAGTACAAGCCTAATCTTGTACAAATTTCCTACTTTTACACAAGTTTTATAAATGTATAATGCGTTTTTTGTCATTCGCACAAGTTTGTACAACGTTAGGCTGACAGTAAACAAAAGCTTTGAAATGAATGACCGTCCTCGATTTACTATAGAAAATCACGAATGTCGGCTGACCCCTACCACATTGTATGGCTTTGCTCTTTGTATAAGCATAATTTCAGCGCTAAAATTTGTTGCATCTTATGGTTTAGATATCAATTAATGATCTGAGATGAAAAATTTTGCTTAATTTGATTCCTCATTTTTTCACATTTTACCGGGGCCCATAAGTGCACTCGTTCTTTATTCTTACAATTTTCGTCTCCTCCCTGAGTATGGGTGGTTGGGGTGGGTATTTTCTTTCAGATCTTTTTTTTTCAGCTGTGAAGGATTTCTTTCAATTTAAATTCATTAAAAACTTGGCGTCGGATATCAATCTGTAAATTTTAATTCATTTTCCAGATATGTTTACGAAGGAAAGAGCAAACAACAACAAGATCAAGAAATGGCGGAGGACTGTTGTCTACTGACTTGTTGTATGGCTTTGTTGTGTTGCTGTTTTTTGAATAACTAAATGGAACCCAACTCACCGTTTATAGAATTTTTATCCGGATAACGAAGGAAGGATAATTATGGTTGTTTTGTGAGCGTGTGTGGGACGTGGAATGAAATGATCTTTTTTCATGCCATAATAAATGTTTGTTGTTACCGGTATTGTACATGTGATTTAAAGTGCGTTTAAAGATACAATTCTTTTTACAATTTACTAGGGATGTCAAAATATTTATTTTCCTTAGTCGATTATTCGATTCCATTATTCGAACGATAGTCGATTATTCGGAACATTTTCTGAAAATAAAATATTATTTCAAACTTCACTGGTACATGACGTATTTACAACTCAAAAACCCTTTTACTTAAATATGTTTAAAAAGTAACATAAGAATTAATGCAACGTAACATTTGATAGCATGATTATATGAAATAAATTTAGAAATATAATTCTCCAAAATTTATGATTTCCCCATCAATCGAATTCATAAATTGGTCTGTACATGCAGAGTGAGCATTCAAAAATTGCTAGCCGATATTTTTTAAAGCTTATTATGAAATAAATTGGGGGGGGGGTTAATTTCACACTATCCAAATGCCAGGTGGTTGTTAAATTGTTAAACAGTTAGTAACTGTTTGTTCATTAATTGATTGCTCTGGTTTTCAGAATGTCCTTAATTATATAAACAGTTTAAAAATGCAAGCGAATTGTTTTAATAATTATTGAAGCGACAAAACATGTTACAGCTATGGTTTGTTCCTTGCGTTTGAGTAATCTTAAAAGATAATTGGTACATCGTATAAAATCAAGTCCAATTAATTGTTTTACAAACAAAGCCCAGTAAATATATTGTTGGTTGATTTATTACAAAAACAACACAAGCAGTAACTGACAGATAATTCTCGTGGTAGTGAAGCATTTATAATTACTGTACTTTCTATAAACACATGAAAAATCAAGTTTAATTATCTTATCAACTGTCTCCGAGAAATGACGGTTTCTCAATTTTGTTATGAGAATTCGATATTGTTATCACTCTTTAATTGCATTTTTAAAATTATAATATTCGAATGTCGTTTCATTATTCGATCGTCGATCCATTCGACTGACAGTCGAATAGTCGACTATTCGTTGACATCCCTACAATTTACATACAAGAATAACTATTTTGGAGAGGACCATAATTACCTTTCATTCCGGGGGGGGGGGGGGTTACATGTATACCGGTAGCGACGACGCATCAACATGACAGAATTTCGTCTTTTAATGGAATTGGGATAAAAATACCCGTATATTATATAGATATTGGATCGCCAATTCTCAAGCTGAACGAACTCATGAATCGACTTTATACATCGCATTCTTGACTTATGTGGATTATCTTATATTTGGGGTGATCACTTTTGTTATAATCTGAACAAAAATTGAGTTAACAGTGTTGTTAAGCAAATACTTCAGGACCAATTTGTACAAAAGTGGAATACTGATATAAATAGCTCATCCAAAGTGTTTTATATAGATTTTTTTATGTAAAACGTATTTAAACTTTTTATTTTGCCACTACAAACTTAGAAAAATGTTTAGAAAATTCTGGACCTCAAATCACCATCTACCAGTTGAGCTAGAAAGATAGACAGATATACCATGAAATGAAAAGTAATGCACACTTTGTAAAACAAGGCATATATAGCCGACGAATTCCATATTAGAATTAAGTGCACTGTCAAACATTCAATAGAAGTATTTTAACGAGCACTATTTAGAGCAAATGTACTTTTATAAAAGTTTACGGATCTGATGACAAAACATAATGTTAAGTCGTTGAAAAAATTACGCATATTTTTAAAAGATATATGAATTAGTCTGTCTTCCATGATTTTATCCTTCTTATTTTTATTGCATATATTTTTCTCACTATCATCCTCTGCATTAACATTTCGTCCACTTGTACCTCTGACCTAAATGTTTGTATTCTGTAATATATTACAATGCCCTCATGTACCATATGTTAATGTTTTGGTTTTAAATGAACCTGAACTTGGAAAACCTCGTGTTGTCCAATTAAAGATTTACTTAGCAACAATTTATTATTATTATTAGTAGTAGTATTATCATCATCATCATTAATAGTGATATCATTTTTCTTTTATTAATGGTATACAGTACAGAATATCTAACTTTGAAAATAAAAATTCATTGGTTTTTAAAAGAACACCCTATTTAATTATATATAGATCTATGCGCAAGAAATATTTAAACATTAAATAATTAATGCATTTATGTTATGTGACATATAGATAGACTTAGATAGTGTATTTTTGACATAACATCAAGAAAAACCTCAACGAGGATTTCCAGTGTTTATTTCTATGTAGATCATACTTCTGTTTTTTGGCTTTTTCTTTTGAGTAAATTTTCAATCATTGGTTTTCATAGATTATGTTTACTCGCTAAGAATCAATCATCTTTTAAAATTATATAATAGTAGGTGATTCCATTTTGTTTGTACATATATATAAATGAAAAAAAAAATGGAGTAAAGAGACTTATGAAATATTTTCTTGTTATGTTATTTCCTAGTAAAAATGAGTGGATTTTTGTTTTTTTATCTTTGGTTTTTTTTTTTTTGTTTTTTTTTTTTTTTTTTTTTTTTGTTTTTTTTTTTTTTTGTTTTTTTTTTTTTTTTTGTTTTTTTTTTTTTTTTTGGTTATTTTCAAACAATTTTGTCCTATTTTCAGTAAAACCCTTCAATTTGAATTGAAATATCAGGCCCGTAGGAAGCAATTTCAGTTTTGGGGGACACAACCAAACATTTTCAGGTGGGGGGGGGGTCAATTTTTTTTTTAAAATGTTCAAAATTTACATGATAAAGCCATCTTTAAAATAATGTTTGTTTTCCCTCTCTCGACTCTTGGTAAAAAAAAATGGGTCGGTAGGTAGGTGGGAATTTTTTTTCGCAGAAAATTTCAAGGTCAATGCTGAATTTTCAAAATATATTAAAAGAAAATTAAAATACTTTTTGACGGGATGAGAAAATTTCGAAATGAAAGAAAAAAAAATATCGTTTCCTGGAGGTTAAAAAAAGTTTTGAGTCTGGACAGTTTAAGCCAGTCGGTCTGGAGAGGGCAAACAAACAAATTTTAAAAGATGGCCTAATATTACGAAGTATGTTACATATTGATGTTTTCCGGTGAAAAATTGGATGCGTTTTTAACTCATAAGTGATATAAAAAGAAATGTGGCATCACAAGATGAAAAAGTCATTTGTACACCCCTTAATTGAGAAATCTTCAGTGTGTAGTATTATGAAGATCATACTAAGAATATATGTTAAGTATGTATTCAACACTATATTTTCTCATATTATTTTATGTTTAAAAGGAGAATTTGAAAAAATAATCTTTTGAATTATTTGCTTTTGAAATTGGAACTTAAACAAAAAGGAGGTACTTACAAGATAGCATGTTCCATATGAAGTTTTCCGGTGAAAAATTGGATGTTTTTTTAACTCATAAGACTTCTACTTTGTATGGAAAGGAAATACATGTAATAACATAAAACCTGTTTGAAAAGGCAGAGTTCTCATTTCTCTCTCTCTCTCTCTCTCTCTCTCTCTCTTAATATTATGATATTTAGTCTCAATATACCATAAAACAGATCCATTAAGCATCACACCGTCCATTTCTTGATGTGTCGTAACGCCACGAATGCCCCCGCAGACAGCCAAAATTTCAAATGTCACATTTAGTTTTAAATTTGTATTCGAACTTGACCTGTATTTTCTGATAAAATACCTGCCATACAATTTCAACCTGAAACATACATCCCTACATAAGTTAGAGAGCGGAAACTAAAACATTATAGTTCAAGGGGGATAACTCTGTCAAAAATCATCGGACCATGACCAAATTCGAAATGACATGTATTTTCTGGAAAAATACATTCATATGCAATTTCAACCTTATATATACATCCCTACAAAAGTTAGAGAGCGGAAACTAAAAACTTCTAGTTCAAGAGGGATAACTCTGTCAAAAAATCACCGGACCATGACCAAATCTGAACTTGGCTTGTATTTCCTAGTAAAATACCTGCATATGCAATTTCAACCTTATACATACATCCCTACAAAAGTTAGGGGGCGAAAACTAAAAATTTCTTTTTTTTTTCTAAGTTCAAGAGGAATAACTCTGCCAAAAATCATCGGACCAGACCAAATTCGAACTTGACCTGTATTTTCTGATAAAATACCTGCATATGCAATTTCAGCCTTATAGCTTATACATCCATACATGTACTTTCAAAAGTTAGAGATCGGAAACTGAACATTTCTTTTTTTTTCTAAGTTCAAGAGGGATAATTGTCAAAAAAAAAAAAAGTCCAAATACGAACTAGGCCTGCGTATTCCTATGACGTATCCATATGTCAAATTTGAGTTGATGCAGAGATAATGAAGGGAAAGTGAATGATGAGTTCAAGAGGAATAAGGAATAACTCTGGAAAAACTCATCGGACCATAACCAAATTCGAACTTGACCTGCGTATTCTTATGACGTATCAATATGTCAAATCTGAATTGAATGTGTGCAACTGTTGCAGAGATAAGGAACGAAAGGTGAATGATGACGGAATGACGGAACAGGGTAACACTATATGCCCTGGCCATTTTTATGGCGGGGGCATAAAAATACATGATGGAATGGAAAAAAAGCGACAAGTCCTGGGGCCACCCTTATAAATCAATGCCTACAAAAGTAAAACGGTCTTCCAACAGAAACTTGCCACCCAAGAGATATAAGACTTTGCAAGTTTATTTCCTACAATTCCTTTGGTTTCCCCCTTTTCACAGTTCAAACTTTCAATACATTTTTTAACAGAATAAATACGTGTACCTTTTACTCTTTAATGTTGTTTGTGATGGGCGTGTAGTTCTATAATGGTTGAACTCCTACATGTAGGTACATGGGCTTGATTACTCGATCGGCGTTTGAATCACATACAGGTTCTGTTTAACATGCACACTTTATGGCAGTTTGCAGAGTCGATGGATTATCCCTCTTGACATTAAATTTGATTTTGTCTTATATATATTAAGCCGTCAACAAAAAATGTTCGACTGAATGTCCTTCTTTATGATCTTCATATGCTCCTTGTGCCATTTATAAACGTTAAAAGTTTATATTTGAACGCTTTCTTCCGGTTTTTAATGAACTTTACGTAACATATGTAGCATGAATAAGGGTTAAGGGTAAGTTCCTTCAGCAAATCTAATACATTCCAGTTGTCTCCTGGGTTATCAAAGAGACTTTGTTGAATGAAGTCCGGAACTGTTCCTTGGCAGTAACCTTAATAAGGCTACATTTTTTTATCTGTTAATTTGTTCATGAAAGAATAAGTTTCAAGAATTTTATATAGTCTTTAAAAGATAAGATCCCTTTTTGGCCCCTGGTTTCAAGTGTCTCTAAGAACGATGCAATTTTATTAGTTCATCATAAAGAAACCATTGTCATTCCTGTTACAAAATGAGTATTGATTCTAAGTACAATGTAAAGGGATACACAAAGGTCACAAAAATATATCAATTTCCGAGTTTTCTCATTTTTATGCAAATTTTTATCAATTTTAAATCACATTTTGTTTCAGAAAACACTGAGCACAAACTTGCCTTTCTACCAAATATGTTTATTTCATGCACAAGTCTCAGATGAATTTTGTGTTTGAAAATATCAGATTGGCAAGCTTATGTTCTGCGTATGTATGTTTCCCGAAGTGAAAAGTACAATGTATATAAAATTTCATGAAAATCCCTCAGAATAGAGAAAATTCGGTAGAATGCCTCTTTTGGCCTACGTGTACGGCTGGAATCAAAATTAATGTTGGTTTCATAACAAGCATCATTCAAAGTTAACTGCAAACTATAACAATTTTAACCGTGTTTTGATTTTTATATCTAAGAGGCAAAATTCGGCCATTTCCACACCTTTTCCTTTGGAAGGATCACCTTCATATACCGTTATTACACTTGAAATTCCATTGTGGAAATTGCATATTATAAACCCCTAACTTTAGAATGAAGTTAATTAAATTTTGCCTTTTATGCAAAAATACAAACGCATTAACCAAGTCAAAAGCATTCGTAAGAAATCAATGTATAATAAAAGAGTTAAAAATCTTGAATTTATTTTCACTATCTTGCGTCGAGAGACGTTCATTTCAGTGAGCCTGGTCTCTGGCACCAATTTAGCCGTTATTTATAACACAGTGTTCTGATTTTAAAAAATTGAAATTTTGTCAACTTTTAAAAATTCATACCAAAGGCTTTCAATACAAAAAAGTGCGTTAAATATTCTTGGCTCAAGTTCTTGGAGCCATGATGGTAAGGTGGGGGGCGGGCGTCAGGAGCTTAGCGTGCTTGTTTGCTTAATCAGAGAAAATGTTAAATACATTAACATACACTATTAGTTCTATCTTTACTAATGAATACGGAAATGTAAATGCTCTAATCACATTTTGCCGTCTCCGGACAATGATAGGAAGTACGCGTACGCAGTGAGATGATATCAGATTTCAACGAAGCGCTGTCGTTTACATACGGAATCAGGGATCGAACTGGTAAGTACTGTTTAGTGTGCATCATAACATGTTATAAGCCATTAAACAGTTAAAAGCTGTCCTTTGGAACCTTATTTGTATAGACTGTAAATATATGTGTTGAAGACGAATTTGAGCAATCAATTTTTTTCTATTACGCGAGATTTTAGAATAGCCCCATATTAAAGAATGAGCGTCTAAGAGTATTTTACTAAATTGCACCACTTGGCCAAATTGTATACAAACAGATAATACAGAGAGAACCAAAGATAAATTACAAGACAAAATCTCAAGTCTATAAAATGAGTGATAAGCCACCCACAGAAACTTACCCGGAAAACCCACCTCCCTATGAGCAGTTTGCTGGGGCGCCGAAGGCAGGGGTATTCCCCGGACCACAAACGGGGGGATATGCTTTGCATCAACAATCGCCGGCAGGTGTATACCCTGGACCACAAACGGGGGGATATGCTTTGCATCAACAATCGCCGGCAGGTGTATACCCCGAATCACAAACGGTGGGATATGCTTTGCATCAACAATCGCCAGCGGGGGCTTACCCCGGACCACAAAAAGAGGGACACTCTCCTCATCAACATCCGCCGGCAGGAGCACGTCCCGGACCACAAAAGGGGGGATATAGTCAGTATCAACCTCCAGCAGGGGTATACCAACAACAACCTACAACAGTGTAAGATATATTTCATTCTATACTTGTTTGTGTTCTTTGTCGATTCTTCTTGATGTTGGTTAAGGTTGACAGGTATGTTTTTTCAGTATAAAGTGAACAACAGAATACTGGATCTCAACTTATTTTTGGACAAGCCTAAAATTTGCAAAAAGATATGATTTTTACCGGGAAAAAAAATAGAGTAGTATTTTTAGTCTTTGCAATGAGTTTCAACGGTTTCAACGGTTTTCATATCTTTAAAAATGCTAACTTGAAATCCCTTAAAATCTACAATCAAATATAGTAATTAAGGATTTTTAATTTATACCATGTGCAGTATCTTCTCCAGTGTAGAGTGTTAGGAAAGTGTTTATCTTTTTTTTTTTAATTTGTGTCTTTTTATTCGATCAGAGATTGCCATACACTGACCAAGTTCTTAGAAAATTATTCACTTCTAAAGATGCATTCAGGAATTGGTACTTTTAACATACAGTGAAAAATATTCACACATTTGTATATTACACATGCTTAACTTTTAAGTATAGTATTTTGCTATATAGGCTTTTCATAAGTATAGTTACTGTATTTTGCTATAGTAAATTTTCTTTTAGATGCTGGTCCCACTAGCTTTTTTTTAGCTGTAAGATGGAGCACTGGCAAATTCTAGGATTTGGATAGTTCATTAGTTGTTGTTTGTTGTTGTTGTTGTTGTTGTTGTTTTTGGTTTTGTTTTATGTTTTTTGTGTGTTTTTTTTTTGCTCTTCAGATTTTTTTTTTTGGAAGTTGTCCCCCTTTTAAAACCTATGTGCCTATGTACATACACATGTATGTCTCTATAAAAGTTCAATCGTATATATGCAATTTACTTAAAAATCAGATAAATTTATCAAGTACATCATGTGCATCATGTTAGAACTTTTCTGATTTGTATCATTTTGCTTCAGTTTTTATGTGTGACTAATGTTCAGCATAAAATGTAGTTTAAATTTTGGACCTTTATAAGCACTCTTTTGACATTACTATTACAAAATGAGTAATGATTCTAAGTGAAAGGATACAAAGAGGTCACAGGAAGGTCGCAAAATTTGTCATTTTTCCGATTTTTTTTTTCTCTCTCTCTTTTCAATTTTCAGAAAACATAGAGCGTACGTTTGCCTCTCTAGTAAATATGTATACTCCATGCATCGGTTTTATCTTGTGTATGAAAAGCTCAGATACTGTAAATCACTTTTTATTCTCAAGAACTTTATTTTCGCGTAATTACGCTAAAATAAGGTGTCGCGAAAATATAGTAATTAACAGTAGGCAAGCATGTTTTCCAGAGGTAAAAAGTATTTCAAATTTGACAAAATTTCTTCTGAATTGAGAAAATTTAGTAAAACATTCTACTTTATCTCCCTCCTGTGACCAATTTTTATATCAAATAAGGTGCCAAATTCGGCCATAACCATACCTTGTCCTTTACATATCGTGGAGGACATAAATTCATTGGTCCGTTCGTGGCACCTTTGAAAACAACGACAATAAAATCTTGTGAAAATTAGTGATTACACATTACCTCGAGACATGTAAATAAAATTAAACATATCTTCTTTTTTTCTACTTGTACACACAACTGTGCGTTACGTGGGAATTTATGAATACAATAACTTTATCCAAAAAATTCCAGGTCATCCTGAGAGTGTAATTCTTTTCATAATTTTATGTCATTTTCCAATTGGGAAATATTTACTTTCCTTTAAAATTTCTGAAAAACTTGATAACACATCTCACATTGTAAACATTAATTAATTTTTCCAGATATGTTTACGAGCAGCAGAGGAACCAAGAGGACCAGGAAGAATACTGTCTACTGGCTTTTTGTTGGGCTTTCTTGTGCTGCTGTTTCCTAGATAACATATAAATAACTAACTGAAGATATAACTGATTGTATATACAGCTGATATGCAGATAATTTATGAATAACTAACTGAAGATATAATTGATTGTATATACAGCTGATATCCAGATAACTTATGAGTAACTAACTGAAGATATAACTGATTGTATATACAGCTGATATCTGGATAACTTATGCATAACTAACTGAAGATATAACTGATTGTATATAGAGCTGATATCTGGATAACTCATGAATAACTAACTGAAGATATAACTGATTGTATATAGAGCTGATATCCGGATGACTCATGAATAACTAACTGAAGATATAACTGATTGTATATACAGCTGATATCTGGATAACTTATAACTGATTGTACATATAGCTGATATCCGGATAACTTTTAACTAATTGTATACATGTATACAGCTGATATCGGGATAACTTATAACTGATTGTATATACAGCAGATATCGGGATAACGAAAAAACATGGGATAATCAGGGATGTTTTGTGAGGGTGTCTGGGATATAAAATGAAATCTGAAAGTTAGAATTTCACTTCTATATTCTTAATATTTTAGAATATCACATTTTTATTTTAAATCATCGAATCATAATAAGTCATAAAAACATGGATATCTTTGCGTTGCTCACAGTGGAAGTCATAGTTTGTCAGCTGAAAACTCTGCATAACTCTTTCAGTAATTTATCAAAAGTATTCAGCAGCCATCGGAACGACTTCACTGTCATCACACGTGTGAAACAGGAAAGGAAGTTTAGAAGTAATGTAAAAGTCATGTAATGATCTTAATTTTAGATGTCTTTTTGTTTATTTATTTATTTATAGTAGCATTGCTCCTTTACGTGTATATGTATTTTTTGTTAAAGTTAATCATATCTGATTTTCTTTTTTTTAAAGAAGAAATTTCTATCATCTTTTCTTGTTTTATCACTAAGATTTGACTTTTGATATTTATCATCACTTCATAGCAGAGAGGCAAATTATTACTGTTATTATTATTATTCAATATAGTTATTGGCAGATGTTATACTAGAAGGGCAATTTATCGTGGAATAAAGCAATTAACGTGAATCATGTTTTAAACGTTAGTGGAAGATACATGTATTTGCATACATTTTTACAGCATTATCTCGCTTTGACCAGTCGACTATTAATGTAGAATTCTGCAGCCTTACACCACCTCTTGATTAGAAACGTTTTAATTATGATCCTGCACTCAAACAATAAAAAATACATTTTTAAAAAAAATTATAACAGAGCATACAAAGTTGTCTTTTGGTCGTGGAAATGCAAGAATATAAAACATGTATTTCACCACCAAAATTTACTTTATTACATTGTACCAATGTTTATTCTATTAAAGAAAAACTCTGCAATATGACTACTACATGTAATTGTCATGTACAAATAGGCATACCCTAGCTTGCAAAATGTACCTTAAATGGATGAAAGTTCAATAATAAAGAGGAAATTCGAAGTTAAGGATCACCATATTCGAATTTATTTCTGAATTTCCTATTTTTTAATTGAGCTTCAGTCGTCTAAAGTACATTGTACCAGGATTTATAAAATATTTGACCAAGAATTACATGCAAAGCATGTTACATTTTGAGTTTTTCACGTTAAAGTTGATAAGATCACTTAATTTTAGCAAAAGGGTATATTAGAAACCATTGTGTATGCTATCAATTAAAATCAAAAGTTGATTTTGAGAGACGTATTACCATGAGAGTTTTGTTTTATAACGTATTGTAAAATGACCGTTTAGCAGTCTTTCCCCGTCTTTAATTAGATGCTCTACTATAGTACACGATCTTTCAAAGATGTCCATCTTATTCTTTTTTAAGTTTTGATGCTCTGAACACAAACTTTACGCAGAGGAAGATGTATTTCTATGTTATTTTATTTTGTCATCTCAATAAGTCTTGTACATACACACCTGTACTACCTTTTCTTGTTTTAACCTGGTCATATTTTGTTTTACAATATATATATACAGTACAAACACTGTTCAAATCTGCAATTTTTAGTTTCATAAATATGGTTTAATACAGAATCATTATTTGCTCTTCTTTATTTCAGTTATACGCTATTCCTTTGTCAACTTTTCTTCTCGGTGACATGTTTTGAAAAAGAACGACTTCTTTGTTTTCACGAGCACCAAGTGCCCTTTCGAGAAGAAGGAAACACAATTTTTACATGTACTTTATCTTTTGTTGATCTTTAAATCAGTGTTTGTATGTAATGTCTCGATCTGAATTTTTTCGTGATATATGTTGATGTCCATATGCTGTCAATAAATATATCTACCAACTCAATTCAGAAAACGTTATACTTTGCCAATTTTTGAATCTTTTGAACTCCCGGCCCTTTTGTCGATAAGACAGTATCATCAATGAAATAGGATTAAAACCACACGTTTTATCATAACTCAAAGGCATTTTTTATTTATAAAAATACTTCACATCTAATTGTACAATTACTAAACATACACGAGGAATAAATAACAGCATTTTAACATCTCTCATACTAGCACCACAAGAAAAAAAATAATAATTTGTAATACTTTTCATAAAAGGAAATAAATGGGGACAAAACATCAACAGGATGCTTTCACAAGATGAAAGTTAAGATAAACAATAAACATAAAGAAAAGTGTCAGTAACTTGTTTTCCCAAAATGCAATGGGGCCGTCAATTTCCTTAAGCGACCGATTGTGTTATCACGTTTTACATCAGTAAAAATTGTCTTTTATAAATCTGGAAATTCAAGAATAGAAGATCTACTACGCACAAATTTAAAAAAAAAAAGATACTGCAATTCTCACTTCTAAATAAAAAGTACAAAACGTTGAAAAGAAAAGGTTTACTTTTTCTTGTTTGCCTTAATTGCTGACTTTAGTTTTGATTTGTCCAAACACCCTTTTTTTCGATTTAAAAACGCAAGCATCAAAGAAAAGGAAAACATGGATTTCTTCGAGTAAAAATTTGTAGGCAAATGAAATTGGTATCCAATAAAAGGTTGACAAAATACTAGTAAGTCTACAATAATTGATAGTCAAATGCAAAGAAAGTTTAACAGCACATTGAAAACTGTAGCAATATTTTTAAAAAAAAAAAATGTTACAAAAAAATAATTATTATCTTATAAAGATTACAATACTTAGAGAAGATTTTGTTTAAATTGTAACAAATAAATAGACTTTCTTTCAATATTCATTCTTTCTGTAAATGCACAACTGTCCAACGATTTGCTTACTTCGCGAGAGTGTGATGGCGTAAAAATCATATGAATGACATCTACTTAACTCAAATAAAAAAATAACTCATGTATCATGTAATTTTCTACGGTATATTAAAACTGACATGCGTAATATCTGCTAGGTATTGTTATCTAAATTACACTATTATGGAAAAAAATTATGACGTGGCAGTGGCTAATATGGCAACATTGTTCGAATTGGGGAAAAAACCATAGAATGAGATTGCTTTTTTTGTTTGTTTGTTCAATTAGCACTAAAACGATTGTTTAAAGGCGATATAAACATGTATTTCCTCACAATTTTTGAACAATAAATAGTAAGACATGATTGTATATACATATGAACAAAAAAACAAGGAATGTAAGTTTTGTACTGGTTGTTTTCATTTTTGAACATTAAATGCCTTATCAAAACTGACTAAAGTTTGATATTTAGAAAATATCTTGATTTTTTACTTTGTACATTAAAACATAGAGAGCAACAATAATTCAAAGGAAAAAATTACAAAGTAATCCATGGGACAAGGTATTATAACAGATAACAGGCATATTTACAATACAACCGTCCAAAAACCAAGTATTATTCAAAAGCATCAGATAATAATATAAAAAATATCACTGGGATGTATACATTATCAACATACATCTTGAGACATTTTATCACCTGGTCTGGAATGATGAGAGACATACGAAACATATATGTGCGATCACGTGATCAATATCACGTTTATCACACAGTCAAATAATAGTGGCACTAAATTGAAACTTTGTTAATTTCATAATTGCATATGTTACAAGTATGTGAAAAAGAAACAACGAAAATGCATCCATTTCCTCATCTTTTCGACACAGCAAAGTTTTATTTATCTTAACTTTTCAATAATACTCGAAATTCCATCTATTTAACAATCAGGTCCCCGGACATCCAAGGACCAAAATTTCTTGTAGCCTGCATTACTCGACTCCTAAGAACCCCGCCAGCGAGACTTTAAGGAGACAAGAACCAGAATCTTGGGGAACACGGAGCGTATTCCATTGTCACTTCCGGCGAGCTAAACAGGCGTGGAAGGCTTGTCCTCTAAAATGTCTGTGCTATAAATATTGACGAAGCTATCTTGATTATTTTCCAGATATGCACAATTGTTTGATTTTAAGTACTTTGGATCTTCTATATTGAAACAATTCTGTTGATCAAGCTGTTCAGGGGAACCTCTTTCGTTCCATGACAGAGTCTCTGAACACCTTCTTCCGTATCTCTCATTATCATCTGCACAGTATATCCGCCGCAGCTCTTCGTCGTCCACACAGGACGACCTCTGAGACAATGTGTCATCGTCGTTTTTTAAAGAATTTCTATCTGGAGAAAAACGTCCAGATTCAGACAGATGTTTTTGCACAAACGGAGTACGTTCGTCGTCTTCACTGATCCGCAGCGAAGTGATTTCATCAACGTCTTCTTCGCCGTCGCTTCCAACAGAGTCTTCCGAGACACGCAATCTTGGTATGATATCGCCGCGGTGTTCTGCAGGTAAAGATGGTCTTGTTGGGTCTGATGGACTTCTATTGTATATTGGTTTCGGGGACGTCATCGTTTCCGGTTGGGAGGTGGGTCTTTCTCGTTCAGTTGACACACCAGAAAGTCGCGTTCTCGAGTTTCTATTACCAGGTGAATTTCTTAGAAAGTCATTGTCTTGTAGATTTATATAAGCGTTCGACCAACCAGGATTTGCATTCGGGTAAGGTGGGTAGAGACTTCCCTCCTCTGTCTGTGTCTCCTAAAACGGAAGTAACGTCATATACAGTATATTTTCTTTTAAAAATCAGTGAAAGGGGAATCAAAGTGGTTCTGGTTACAAAGGAAATTACGTCTGTACCTACCATGTTGACCGTATTCTGCCTCTGTAGCATTCGTCCATTCGAAGGCGGGTCTACCACTACGTACGGTTTGACTGTGCCGTTCAAATGTTTCTTTTTGGCTGCTCGTTTTTTCAAGTATGCCATGCGTCTATTCCTTGTAGAAAAGTGAGACATTTCATTTAAAGTAGTTTGTTGCAAGTAAAAAATGGTTTCAAAATTTGAATGATTTCAATCCAAAATAAGACATGAAGTTAAAGTAAAAACACTGTTTACTTACTTTGCAAGGAAGTAGGATGCAATGCAGAAACAGACAAAAATCAAAATTCCAATTACAATGCCTATGATTGTCAGGGTTCTATCCTGTTCTGGACTTGGTGAATTTCCTAAAAAGGAAACCAGTAAAAACGTATTAACTCTCTACTTAAACAGTAATCAACAATTATATCATTTCAGCAACGTACGAAGAATTAACTGTTAATAAATATGATGACAAAGATTATACAATAAAAGAATATGTGCCTCCGATAAGTAAACACCTTAAGAAAGAAATACAGACTTTATATTCTAATCATTGTTGTTAATTATATTGACAGAGAATTTTCGATCTTTTTCAGTGGCAATTAGGAAATCGGTAACTTTGCGTGAAAATGATTTCTCGACATTAAATTACTCTGCAAATGTTGCCATATGTTCTTTCCCTAGCTCCGAGCTCCAAAAAGTCAACATTTCAGGAATTTATTCTCTCTTAAAATTGCTTCTCAAAAAGAATTGGCTTATTTCTACTCGTTTGACCATTTTTTCCCGCTTAATATCTTAGTTATTATACATGTCTGTAACAGTATAAAATGTTAATCTATTATAAATATATTATTTTTCGAGCGGTAGCTAATATAATCAGCTAGGCTTTCGCTGATGAATAGGAATAAGCCTCGGCGGTGTTGTTAAGCATTGTGATTTTTTTTTCGTGTCCATGATTAACCTAGCAAAATACAAAGATATCCGATTAATATATGATAAATTTAAGACTGATATTCTAGCAAAGTAATTTTTGTAGGAGAAAGAAAGAATGAAAAATTCTACGATATAATTATATATAAATAATATGGTAAGCGTTATAGATTTGGATGTACCTCTGGCAAATATCAAAATGATATAAAAATATTTATCAAAATTTATATGCTCATTTTCTAATATATATCTAATAGACTTGTTTAACTCTAAAATATAAAACCGTCAAAAGCAAGTGCATTTCCACAACATGTATTCCGAGGATTTTGTACCATCGTAATCAAAAAACATTTTGACTGTACATGTGCCAACATGTGAAAAAAACGACAAAAAATTTGTTGCAACATTCACCATATTTTAAGCACTTCCAACCTTCTTACAAAAAATAAATTACATTTAATACAATATCAAAACACCAAATATCAAAAGCACCGTTAACCGAATATGGGTGGATAGAAGGATGATAGCGCTCCAGAAATAGGTTTGTGTTGACCTTGGGTGTTAGAAATGTGACTGTAAACAGTGAAGAAATAATCTCGGGATCGAACTCGGGGCTCGGGTTTCAAGAGGATGGGAACAGAAAGAAGGAAGATTTTTTTCTGGAATTAAAATTTACAAAATGTTAAGTTGTATTTCTTGAAGGTGGATACTCAGCTAAATTTCAGACTGTTTCAAAATGTTTAGTAAATTATCATTAAATCTTCTCTTTTTTCTCAAGCAAAAGACTTTGGTGGTCTGGAAAGATTGACAATCATTCTTTAATTGAATATGAAAAAGTGTTTTCTGTCCTAAATTTGTATTTGAGTCATTTTATTTTCATTCTTTCCAAACTACCATGTCCCCTGACTTTTCGACATGCCAATACATCAGACTATATACCTGTAGTAATTTTTTTAGCGAAAGGATCCGGGAACTGACAACGCTGTCCTATAAACGCTTCCGGACATCTGAAGTAAGGGAACCAGAAAGAAACATGAATTTTCACAAAGAGATGGTGGTAAATAGCATATATATATGATAGCAAAACGGGGGATGGGAACCAGTCATGGTGACGTGCAAGGCAAAAACATATTATGTAGCAGGGATTCACAAGCAATGTTTTGCAACAATTCATTACGAAACTAACTCTTGCAAATTAGTGAGTTAACGTTAATGAGGTTCTATCTATTTTCTAAAAGCATGTTCTATTTTACGTAATCAATGTATGCTATAACTATTCCATGATTGACACATTAAAATGCAGTCGTTAGGAAATAAAGAACTGTTGCAGAACACTAGGATATAAAATGCTTCGTATATAGTGCACTAGGTACATGAACAATCTGCAGCTAGTTTTAACGGTGGCGATCGTCCGACAAACGTGTTCAGTCAAGTTATTACATAGATAGAACCAAACATGGCATTCATTTTTGGGTTATTTCATGACATTTCTAAATAAAATGGCATCTATCATGATGTTGATCTTTGAATGACATTGCATGCTGAATATCTAGGTCTTTTTTCTAGTATTTTTGTGGTGTTTCTAGAATTATCTAATGAAATGAAATTAAGACGAAACTAAATGTTAGCATGCCCTTTAACATGTGAAAATGATCAACATGCACTGTGCAACATTAACTAATTTTTCTGATGTTGTTTTCCATATTCTTACTTTCAAGTTGAAATTCAAGTAAATTGATTTAATATTTTGAAAATTTCTTCGTAATTCTTTGCACATGACATGCCATGCTGGTAATCTACATAAGGCTTGAATGCACGGAAGAAAAAATGTCGGATATCATACCATCAATAAGATCCCGGATGTCTGGTGAGAGTAGGGCGCATCTTTTTCCATGGTAATTGCGACGACAACTAATAATAATACCATCACCATTTAACATTACAACTCATGAGATATATAAATACATGTATACATAATTAATATCTCACTTATACTCATCTGGAAGGTGGTATCAAACATATTTTACATTGAGTTCATACATTGTAAATGTTCAATCGCATCTTCTCGGGCCTTTCCGACAAGCTCGGAAATTTTCCGCTTGTCGGAAAGGCCCGAGAAGTTGCGACTGATGTATGTGGTAGTTTCGAGTTTCCTTGAAGATCTGATAGAGCTTAAGCAAAGAAGACATCTAAACATAAAGCTTGTATGGAAGCAAGGAAGTATTATCTGATCGAGACAAATAAAAATGTCAATGCCGATAATTCATCAATTTGAAATTATCTCAAAATACATTTTTTTTTGTGCAAGAGAAGAAATGATATTTTCTGCAGAAAACTCGGGGAAATAAACACAGTTCATGTTAAGGAGATTAAGATAACTGAAAAATGATGCCACAAATATCTTTTATGAAATGAAGATTTTTCAAGATCAAACTTCAGAAAGATATTTGCCCATCTCAAATGTTTTATCTAAGGGTAGATAAAAAATGGGAAAATCATCTTCCCTGCGTATTCACAAGTAACACGCTGTTATGTTTGTAGCTTAAGAATATATATATAAAAAAATATTGTAATAAACGGTGTAGCAGGGGTTAGGCGAGGATAAGTGATAATGGTTGATCTGTCTGGAAAAAAACGGGACTAGTACAGTAACATCTTCATCACAAAGGGTAAAAACTCTGTGGAATTTCATCTCTGTAGTGTAGCGGTGATTTTTACATCCGATAAACAGGTTGCTTCATAAAATTCAAACATAATTTACGTCTATATCATCAAGATAGATTAACTCTTTCTTATTCTTTTAATCCCCTTTTTGGCTTTTCAAGTTAAAACAACTTTTATAATCAGAATTATTTAACAGATAATGTTTGTCTGTATGAGAGGGAAAAAGGGGGAAACTTACGTGCATGTTTTAAGATCAAGCTCCTTAATAATTCGGCATTTTCCGCCATTCAAACAATAGTCTTGGGCATCTCGTTTGTTGCATGGAATATATCTGCCCGATGTCGTGGCTATTAAAAAAGAATAAAAGTACACTTAAGTAAATATGCTTTTTAAATACCTGTCATTTGAGTTATTTAAAACGAATTTCCATTCATTAAAATGCTGTCTCTATATTCATTTAATTTTTATCCTTTACGTTGGAATGCGATTTATTCACAGCATTTCTGGTTTAAGATTACATTTCTATTAAATGCAGGGTGTGCAAATCTCAAAGGACTGTTAAATATTTTAAATTGTTCAAATATAACAAGTATCCAATGGACAAACATTTCGTAAATTTTTAAAGGAAATGTCCTTAAGCTTGCGTGTAAAGTGTAATAAATAATGAAAAAAAAATTAAATATCGAAAAATAGGAGGGGCACTTCTATAAAGTGGCCAAAATCGCCACATGTGGGATATCCCCATACCAATATTGTGGAAAAATTCTATTTAAGTTTTTTCTCTCTGTTTATTGCGCTCTGTGTGTCCACGTAAACAATTAATTTATGGAAACATGACACTTTAGCTTGTCTACTAGACATTTAAGTAATAATCTACAATTAATATCTGATGGCCAGTCATAACTGTCCTTTGGTGGCTTTGATCTGACAGGGGACAATTACAAAGGTTTTTCCAAGATAGGAGGCATATTTTTTCTATCAAAAATAAAAATATAATTAAGATTTTTCTTATTTACGAAATACAACCTATTCCGCAAAGTGCACATGCCCACTCTCGAAGATGGCTTATTTTATTTCAAAACAGTTTCATCTCTGCCGTTCGCCAATATGAAATAAACGATTTAATATTACGGATCTTAATGTATTTTACGTTTGAACGATTATTTTGATAAGTTTTATCGGACACAAATCTAATGAATATAAAAATATGTAACCTTATAAACTACAATGTACCGAGTGGCTTCCCGAATTTTAAGTCTGGCAAACATCCTCTGATTTAAAGAAACCACTACTGTACATTAAAAAAAATGATACCCCTCAGGAAGATACGTCTTATCATTTCAACATGTATTAAATAATTAGGGCGGGAAAAAAGGCGGTCACATATGCTCTAACTTCCAATAGTGCCATTCAGGAAAAAAAGGAGATAAAGAACCGACTCAGCACAACCAGAAAAAATCCCTATATTTTATATTCCTGTTAAATTTTGATATGATTTTGACACATAATATGATCGACCAGGTGCTCCTGGTGGAGGTAGTATTATGCAATTTGCTGAAAGCCTCTGTCAAACAATGCGTGTACCATGTGTTAATTTATTTGAGAATAAGCATTTTTTGACCTTTTATAACAAGTTTTATCGATATTTTCAACAATTTTTACATCTATTAAAGTTTTATTTCTGATAAAATCTTTTTTGAGGGGATACCTCTTTTGTTAAGTACATTGCATATGATATGCAATTTTCATTGCTTTTTAAAGGAAGAAGTTGAATGGAAACTGAAAACTGAATTTTTTTTTTTTTTTTTTTTAGCCAACCCAAACAATTTTTAAGCGACATATCCCCGATGTTAATCAAAACATGCTGGGGATTTTTTTCCTCCTTAAAAAGGACTTATCGGAGAGGCTTACATTGTGCACAGCGTTTCACAAAATCAATTCTTTGATGTTTCTTACCATTAAAAATGTTCAGTGGGTTGCTAAACCTGAGACGAGATATTCTTTGCCTCTTACATCTATTATATGTGCCATTAAAACAGGTGGAAGCAAAATTAGGATTCCCCAATATCTTAAAGTCTATTAAACTTTGTAATCATTTTGATTCTCGAGCAAAAAGCATCGATGGGGATTAGGAATATCCAATTTACTGTTTTGTGTTGATAACTAAGGCAATTTTAGATATCCCCCCTCAGATACCCCCAGAATTTTAAAGGGATTATGAAAACCCAAACAGATTTTGATAAGATGCACAGCTTTTTTAGGATTGTTCACAGTAACTAATAAATTGAAATTTTTAAACTGACATGTAAACTGTGAAAGTTAATCACACAAAATGAGTGGAAATTGAAATAAATGGAACCAAAGCCTTTCTCTATTTTTAAATTGAGATAAAGCGAGGGTTTAAAAAAATAGCTCAAACTTATAAAATATTTTCCTCTATAAAGGATGACTGCACTTAAGGATATGCGAAATTTGCGACAAAATAAACTTTCAAAACAAGCATTTTTCTTTTCATTGCAAGAATGGTCAACATCCAATCTACAACTTTATGTAATTACGTTTAATAAAAGTGTGTATTTACGAAGTTCGAATCTGTTTTCAAAGGCAGGGGTCATCACAATTTCTTGAATCTCCGTTCGATAATGAGGACGCCCACTTTTTTACTGACTTCATACATAGTCAGCGCATGTTTGTCTATTGTTCTACGTTTAACAGTAGTTGTATATTTGCATAAATAATAATGTGTCAAAAGGAGATTAATAGACAAACATGCGCTCATGGTTAAAAAGAGAAAAAACTGCTTCTTCTTACATTCGCTCTATGTGTTGTAACCAAGGGTTGTGACATGTTGAATATTATAATTCACCACGTGATTTCCTACCTCAGGTAACTCTGTGAATACTAAATTCCGTCACGTGACTTGTAAGGTAGCATGTTTTGTGCTAACTAGGACATTGTGTTCGAACACGTTAAGTCATCTGGCATTGATAAAAAATCTGCTTTAATTACATGGACGTGATCATATTGTTAATTTCGCTTTGAAACCTTTGACAGTAGTGTATTTGTGCCATATAGAATGGAGATGGAGATGGGAAAGAGTGATCACATTCCTTATTTCAAACATGTCATTGTTATTTATCTAGTCTAATTTTAGACCCATTCTTACAATGTTAGCTCCACCTCTCATGCATATCTAATGTTCAATCAAGGGCAGGTAAGTGTAAATTCTCTATATTTGGAAAGCAGTAAGGACAAAAAACATTGAATCATTTTATTGTTTCACAGTCTAAAATCATTTTAAGATTTAAATTTGGTTCCAAATTGACAGGATTCTTTCATAAATATACAAAAGTGAATTAAGGTTTAGATATAAAAGCAACAGAAGCAACCGAAAAAGACCCAAAAACCGGCGTTAAGTGCAGTCATCCTTTACAAGGAAAGTGTAAAGACCTCGTGAAGATTTATAAAGTGTTGGGTTAAACTTACGTTTTGTTGGTTTTTTGGTCGTTGTTCCCTTGCTAGGAGAAACTGAAAAATTAAAGTCATCATTATAAGCAGCATTTAATAGAATGACCCAACATTGAAGGAAATGACAACAATAAAGAAAATGATGGCGACTACCACATAGAGCTTACCATCCTACATCTGCATTATCTAATTGAATTCATGAACAATAATTTTACTTTTATGTCATGCAGCCATTTTATTAAAGGAAGATAACCCAGCAAAAAGAGAATTTGTTTCTCGTAAAAGGCAAGTAATCAAGAAAGAAAAAAAAAAGAATCAAGTACCAAACCTGGCTTAATTCTGCTGATTTCATAATGACATCTAGTCCTATTGTACTTAAAATGATCAGTCCGTGATTTGTCAGCCATAGTTCACATATATTTGTATGTAAACGGAATTTACATGAAGAGTTAAGCCAAATCTTATTTTCGTTCCTGACGTGAGGGATATTTAAACATTATCTATAAGCCACATTAATTCATAAAGATCGAACGCTTATTAAATTGTCATTGCCATAAAACGTAATCTCAAAAACTTTATAGTAAAAAGATGAATGAAAACAGGATTGAGGGCGATTAATAATCAATGGACAAAAAAAAAATCTTGATAAACTTGCATTAAAAACTTTCCCGTGTTATACTGTACACTGATTGCACAGATTTACGTGGAAGGGAGTAACCCGGAGAGATTAAGTTAAAATTCCATTCTTGCATATATGCATATACATGTAACTGAACATTGTTTGACCAGAAATAGCCTCTAGTATACTTGTAAACAGGTGGAGATTAAATTTCAAATATATTTACCTCAAACAATGAAATGGCTTACATATATAATGTACTATATACAAACTAGAAATCTCCATCACATAATCTAGAATTTGCACCAAGATTCTACTCAAGTTTCTATTGAAACTTTCAATTTTTTCTTTAAAAAATATGTTTGGGTCTCGGAAAATATTAGGATACAAGAAAATAAACTGTTATGTTCATCTCTATCTCTTTGCTGTCGGTTTTGGCGTTTTTTCCCGTATGTATTTTGATTGGGATATTGCCATTAATCCTGATAATCACTCTAATCATATCAAATACTTTGATTTTAAGGAGGAGAAAGATAAACCCGATCTGAAAATTACCATTTATTATCGTTTAAGCCAATTTTACGTGCTTGTATAGCTAGTAAACGTTGCCAAAGACACAGGGAGGGATCCAGGTAGGAGGTTCCTCCTGACCAAATTCTTGTTTTGTTTTTTCTTTATTTTTTTGACACATATTTTACCAAGCAAGCCCCTGGACCAGCCAACCTGTTATTTATTGCAGATACGCGAGTTATTTGAACTCCATGCTGCCAAAATATGAAAATTTCTAAAAGAAAAATATTTTATGATACAATTAAACTCCAATTTAAACTTTTAGGAATTTATCATTGAAATTGGGGTCCTGTTGATAACGGCTGCTACTGCAAGGTTTTTTTTTATACAGGGAACATTGAATGCTAACCTGTCTGATTAGAAGGTGGATTAACAGGTGCGATGAGTCCTGATGCTGCAATATTAACCCAACAGACATTTGAAAAAATATATCCTTTTTGTCAAAATTCCAATTTGTTAAAACTAAGACAGGATGTTGGATCCCCAGGAGAAACCACATTGCAAATTTTAATGAGGGTTCTAAAATCAAATATTTGTTAGAATTTAAGATAAACCCCCATGTTTCAGGGGGTGCATTAGGGCATGGCAAGCTTCTGTTAACGGTTACCTTAATTGAGAAATCTTATCTTCACCTTTATTTCAACGGTAACGTCAGTTTCATTCATAACAATTCTTGTCTTCGTTTTCATTTCATTTCTTATACTCGAGGTGATTTCTCAAATTAACATATTACAAGTATGTGGGCTGCGAAATGCCCACATTAAAAATATTTCTGGTATCTTATACTTGACAGGTATGTTTTGTGATCTCAACAATGTGTAAATAAAAATGAACGGTAATATGATATATCAAGGAGGGCCATTTTAAAAGCTTTAAGCGTGGTACTATTTTCCGGGTCAAAGTCTTGATGCGTGTGTGAAATTGACAATACTACTATACGACGTAGTGGCGCTAACGGGTGAGGGGAATATGTCCTCTAAAATACATAATCTCACATTTAACAAGTAGACTAGTGTTGATAATTGATAATGTCTACAGGTTAAAGGTGTCTCTACTTCAGTGGACATTCTTTATTCAAAGTCAACAAATCTTTTCCTGGGGGGTGAACATGATCATAAGGGGTCACACAAGATACAAAAGATTTTGGTTGATCTGATGTAGAGATTTGCTTGGTCTCGTGTGCGCTTTGATTGATGGGTTTCTGAGTGCAGGACTTACCACGAAATTACTTTTTCAGCAGTGTTGTAGCAATGTGTTAATGTCGTTAATGTATTTGTCTTTTTTGTTCTATCCCTTATCAACAAAATAATGAAATAAGCTGATGGGTACACTATCCCCCTTCCCTTAAAAGTAAGAAGCAATTGGAAAATTTCCACTGACCAAGTATCGAATGCATCAGTCAAGCAATGCTCAAGTGGATGTTCTGCATAGAGATTATCGCCTTGCTGTCTATATTAAAACAATGCAATGGAACCCCCAAGAGGTATTTTGCAAAGTTTAAACAGTCATTTGATACATAATAAAAATCTAGAAAGTTATTTCTAAATTCTTCGCTGGGGTTTAATTTCTTTTGCTTTGTTTTGTTATTTCTAATTTTTGACAAAAATATTTTGCCCGTACATGCATTCACTTGGTTTAGGAAATGATTTGTCATTTTGCTTGTTATTCATACACTCAACGACTTGTTCTTTACATGCACTTAAAGATAAGAAAGGTCAAAAATATGCGGGTTGTACATTTTTGTTACATAATACACATGTACCGAGGGGTATAAGTAGGTCTAAACTACGAAAATACGATCGCAAGAATCGGGCAATTGTTCATTTCTTAAAGTTTGACAATGCTATTGAAGTCTTTATGAATGCGAAATTGAGAACAGTTTTGAACAATTTAAACGAATGTTTTGTAAAGAGGATGAAAATACATTAATTATTTAATGAATACAGCGAACAGATAATCCCATTTGGGATGGATAACATTTTTGTTTTATCTTCTTTTAAGGTCTTTTTTCAAGTACACGTTTGGACGAAAAAAAAAGAAACACCCCATTGAAAAATGTAGCTATTTAAAAAAAATGTGTTTAAATTTGCATTTAAATCGGAGAAAAGGTAAACTGAATGTTGGTTTCATTTGTCCCTTCCGGCAATCCATGTGGTCTACCTTATGGCTGGCAAGAAAATCTGTAAGTCAGGGATTAAAACATTTTGTTATAATTTCGTCTCCGCTTAAGCAGAAATCTGGCGATCTTAAGGAACCGCAGAGACTATAATCATGTACAGGTATTATATCTGGTTATAAGGCAGCGACCCATGTCTTTGAATGAATTAAAATATTATTTGCAGAACACCCATATGCAGATAAGTGGTGACGCTTTAAATATTTTTGGCTCCTCTTACATAACAATACTTAGATTGAGCTGTTAACAGTCGTTAGGGTACTCTTGAAATGCATTTGCTAGAATTTTTAAACCTTTGAACATGTTAAGACCCTTAGATAAGATTTCACAAGAACTTTTTGCAAGTCATTGACCAAAAGTCACGTTGACCAAGAGTCAGAATATAGGAAATTGACATTTGTTTGAAATAAACGATATTCTTGTCAGAATAAATTTACAATTTTCTGAAAAAAAAATTAGATTACTTTTCAAAATTCGTTTTACTTTGAATTGAATGTTTGTTTTAAATGACGATAGTATCTTTGGTCAACTATTGCAAAGTTCCTTTCTTTGTGATGGGAAACCATTGACAAACACTGCCTAAACAGTCTGTCCTTCTTGAACTTTTAAGTACTTGTAATCTCCGGCCAAACAAGATATATTCCTTCACTTACAGGAAGGTCTATCAGGTACACAGGGACACTCACATGCTACAAATAGTGCATTATACTTAGTATTGTTCACAAGATAAAGATCTGATATTCATACTCTAGATTTCCCCCCGCAGCCAATGACATTCAAGAAATGTATCCCGCTAAGTGCCCCACCTTGCCTCAGTCATCTTATTTCTTTTTTCCTGTTTATGTTTTTTTCAGCAATCCAATGACTGACGACATTTTTAATAGTGAGTAAACCTCTTTACTTAGCAAATGGACTTTATTTTGACACAAAAAACACTTTCAATCCCTGGTCGAAACAATAATTCTCCATACGAGAAAAATAAGTAATTGTGAATTAAGAAGTTCAATTGAGTGTATTGTTCAGGAAAATCTTGGTACATCTAGTGTATTGTTCATTGTGTATGATTTTTATCAATGTTTTTATTAAGGACTAATCTTACCTTGTATGTTGACGGATTTCTCCGTTGATCCAACAACATTGGTCGCTATGCATTTATACATTCCTGAATCTTTATTTGATGCTTTGTTTATTCTTAACTGAGAATATTTCCTGTGAAACAAAAAAAATCAATTAAAAGACAACTCAGTCAACGGCATTGTAAGGTCATTTCCATCAAAAGGAATATAGTTTTGATTATCTGATAAAGCAAACCCCCAATAAATATATATATATATATATATATATATATACATATACATATACATACATACATATATATATATATATATATATATATATATATATATATATATATATATATATATATATATATATATATATATATATATATATATATATATTGTTTTATTGAACATACTTTCTATTTTTGATTTGAACACCCTTTGTTTTTCCGGAAATTGGAACTCCGTTTTTGGTCCACTTTATCACAGGATCTGGCTTTCCCGATCGCAGACGACATCGTAGCTGCAGCCTCTTGCCAGCCACCACCTTTCTTGCTTTGATTTTCTTTAACTCAGGTTTTTTACCTGAAAATTAAATGAAAGATGGGGTCACGTTAAAGTAGAAACAACTCAAATCAACATCTTCTAAAATAACTTCATGGATCAAACTTGATACTTTCCCTCCAACAGATAAGGCTCTGGAACGTCTGTGCAGAAATTATGTCTTGATTAGGTAAATGACAGTGATGTACATAAAATAGATAGCCAAATTTTCTTGCAATAAACAAGATATTAATTTATCATTTTCTTGTCAATTAGCAGGAGATGACGCAGTTAGAATAGTTAACTGTGCACGAACTATCCAAGGCCTTTGGAGCATAAAAATACTGTACAAATTGGTCAGGAATCAAAAGATTATCCTCCAGCAAATTACTAAAGTGTGAGAGTGATTTTTTTTTTTTACATTTGATGTGACATAACGAGATTTTTCTTCCACCTTCAGAGAAAGTGTGATGTAATTTTTAAAGAAATATAGTGAATCACTCATATACCTATATTTTTGAAAGAAAATTCTCAGATCATTGAGGAACAAACATGTTTTACACCTGGCGTGAGATTAATTACGACGGGTTTTACAATCCTCGCCACAAATATGTGTCTTCCTTATAAAGATTAAATCACACACTTCAACACTTAAAAACCACACAGCTTTACTTCAGCATATTATATCAGGAGATAAGTAAACTGATGATTCATGAAAAAATCAGAATGAACGCGCGTAAACCTCCTATACTAACCTAAATAAAACCAACAAAAACTGAAAGGCAATCCTGGTCAACCAAAAAAAAAAAAAAAAAAAAAAAAAAAAAAAAAAAAAAAGATATCCTACACCTTAAAAGACTTCAGTGATGAAAATAAAATTCTTTATTTTGATAATCTGTTTATTCAATTTTTTATTTCTGGTTTAGTGCACTAGGATGATCATTTTCTTTACAAATATTGACTTGAGTGAATTTCTACTCCACATAAAAATGCCAAGTCAATGTTCCCTTTTGAATGACAGTGTTTATCAATTGACAAGTTTTCAGGATATCATCATCACTTCTATGCCTTTGTCCCCCGTAGACTAGAGATCTAGAACTACTCCTACATATTTTTCAATGGCTATTGTCAGTCTATTTTGCTCCGTATTTTGACATTGATTATCAATCAACACGTTTAATATTTCTCCAGCTAGAAAGTTGATACAGACATTAAATTATTCGCAGTGAAAAATAAAAATATTAGTGTACTAATTTTACTTAAATACCAAGGATTCACGATTATATTATTTTATCTCCTTTTCAAATTTCATCGATTTCCCCCTATAATATATCATTGATTTACTGCTATTATTTTATTTCCATCCTATTTATTTCCATAAATAAAAAGCTCTGAATAAACACCGGATGATGGACAAGTTTTTAAGTGATCATGAGCACCACATATTTTATAGATTTTACACGCTCCTTTTTTTCTCTCATTTATCCTCTTATTAGAAATCAAATACCTGTAAAAAGGTAGAACTTTTATTTAAAAAATTCCGTATGCGGGGGTGTATCTGACCATATGTTTGTGCGGTTGCAGTTATCGGATATCATTTTACATGATGATATTTAAAAAATGGCCAATGGATGGTGAATCAAAATAAAAAGGTAAAAAGGAAATCCGGCTTATAGTGTAGTATTATAAAAATAATTTGTAGCTGAAACTTAAAGGTTCGTGTTAATTGATAATTTGTACATGTATATTTTCCAGCACAATAAAACAAGTGCAACCAGAGAGAGAAGGAAATGCTAAATGTGATAGAATTATATACATAATCTAAAATAACATAAAAAAAGATAACATGCTCAAAAGTACATTGCATTTTTTTTTTAAATTCTTCAATTTAAATTAAGACAGTCCTGAGACCATAGTGAATACTCGAGCAAGACAGCAGGTTAATTTAAGTCAAGCATTCCTACCTTTAATGGAGCTTCTTTTCTTTTTAATCCACCTTTTAGGCATATTTTTTCTTTTTCTTAATCCCATGATTTTGAAATATTTTAAGTAAAAAAATTCTTTGCAGCAAAATGCAGCAACGTCGAGAAAGTCTAAGAAAAAGTTGGTGTGCAACGAGTTGCTGCACTGTCGAAAGTCTTGTGTAAAATGCAGTAAGCAATACCTGGCCCTATAGTTTCTTTATATTGAGGTAATGACTAGAAAATAGATTAGGTAAATATTTTTGCTTTTGTCGCAGACAGGGTATTGTGTATCGAATGTAATCCCAACATGGGATTATAGCAGGTAGTTGTCATATTTTCTCAATTCACCGGGCCCTTCCAAAAGGGAGGATAAAAGCAAAAATCTTCTTCTTTGCATTTAGAATTCAACTTGTTCTTCTTAAACCATCCATCCAGTATTTAATGATGAAAGTGATAACAATCTAAGCGTCTGCTGTCAAGAGATTTGAACTTAGTAAAATTTGAAAATTCTTAAATTTTCATGCATGTGTCCTTTAGGACAACGTTCTTAATTCCCTGTAGATGTAATCATTTTTTTTATATTAAACTGATATGTTTACCAGCTGAACTGATGATGTTGCGAGTAAAAAAAATTACGCCAAGAAATAAAGACTTTATCAGTATTTTGTTACAAATGATGCTGGGGATCTACTTCCTGAAAATTTCTTTATTTAAAATGTTATTGCATAATGATGTACCCAAAATAATATACGTACTATGAACTTTGGTAACTTTTAACTTTTTTCTGCATTTTGTTAAGGTAATTCAAAAACTTAGGATAAAAATCTTTACTAAATACATCAAATTCCCATTGGTAACTCAGAGCAAAGTTCTTACGAAAACAGCACAGTCAGTGGTGAGCGTGATTTCAACACTTGAAATGAAGAAATCCAAATCAAGATAAATAATGAATTTAAATGAATTAAAATAGTGGACCATAGACTACAATATCACTTCTCAAGCAAATACAGAGTTATTTAAGGGAATCCTTCATTCCCAGACAAATAGCCAATAGCATTAGTTTTTACTTATGAAATAATAACATTATCAAAGCCTGTCTAATCACTAATTAGAATTGTTACCTTGGTCCAAATATTGATGAAAGTAGTTATTTGGAGAGAAAATAACCCTAAACCTAATCCCCTTTAAAAGTTAAACTAACAGAATTGCTTTCATTTTCTAGTCACAATGCAATAGCATGTAAAGTGTTTTAGTATTATCCCCAACATATAACAAGGGGATACTTCAAACAAGCCCTGAAATTCCAAATAAAAGATAAAAGTAGAATTCTTAAATTTTGTCGAAACATTTAGTTACTATGTGTACCAAAGTTCATCCAAATTAATTAAATTCAATCCATTAAAATGCTTATCCAAATCATTCAATACAATTTTTATCAAATAATTAGTATTTGGATTAAATCAAGCATACAAGTATACTTATCACTTACTATTTTAAAAATTAATACTTATATCTTTCTTACCTTCTTTCATACCAAAATGCTTTTAAAAAATTGAACAACCAGGCTTAGGAAAATAATAGGCAGTAGAATCCGTTTGATGCATGTAAAGCAAAATAGAAGAAGTTGTGGTCTATTCCGTAATTTGTTGTCAACATTATGGTTTAGCTTAGTACTAAATTACAGAAAAAGAGGTGAAAATTATAGAAGCTCGGGGTAAGTGAATGTATTAGTGGATTCCGATCTATATTTCTGTGTTATTTAGTGCAGGAAAGTCAAACGTAATATATTGGAGCAAACAAAATGTTGATTTAAAATGTCATACAGACAACTTTTCATTCGATGTTTTATATATGGCAAGTTGTATTTCCTGGCTGAATAACAGTTTTTGAAATTAGAAGCAATTTTAAAAAATCATTTTAAAACTGCAATTTTTCATTTGATAGAGAACGGTCTGACTAATTAACGAGATTCTGACATTTTAACAAGATGCAGACTTTCTTGAATTTACAAAATAATGAAAACGCAGTCTGTTCCATATGTGCCAAGCTGACGATTTAATGTTCGTAAAACAATTATTTCATTAATAATGAGATCACCCAAATACAAGCTCATTGCTCCCTTGCAGCTTTCGAATTAAACAGATCACTTTCTTTTTCATCTAAGCAGGAAAAATCTGGCAGCCTGGTGAAAATGAATTACACAGATACATGGCGAAATGCATAGGTGTGTTTAAAATCCATGAAGATTTATGGAAAAAAGGACTTGAATTTATTAAATTCATAATATCTTCTTTTTTTTTTTTTGAGTTAACGATGATATAATGAACTTAAACTCTCTGTGATATATGAATGGGTTTTTTTTCAAGGGCAATGATTTTTTTTTCACTAGGTTTCCTGTTGCTCTGTGATGATACTTTTGAGGCTGGAGTATAATGAGCACGTTTATGAATTGCGATATCTCTTATGTTCATTTAATCATCTCCAAATGATCTGAAGCATAAAACATAACGAGTATTTTGCAGTTTCTTGGTGCAAACCTTCAGTTTTCATGGCTAGATGTTTGATAGTAATTTTTGGCGGACAAACAAGCTATTTATTTTCCAAGAGGTTTGAAATCCACAACCTGCGTCAAAGAACCAGAAATAAAAAAAGCAGCTTGATTAAAATTCATCAATGCTATCAAAATTTCAACAAACAGCAAAAAAATTATTCACCCTGGAGTATTTTCAAAAGATAAAATAATTGTTCCTAAATCCTCAACGCTTTTATTAAAATGGCTTTAGATGCTGCATGTAAGATTTTCCACTTTAAATATTTTTCTTCGGTAATCTTCAGTTTTACCCAAATTTTCAAAGTTATTCCTGAAATGTTGCAACAGAGCTCAACAAAAAAGTTCAGAATATTAATTGTAAACATTTGTCGATCGTTCCTAGTGATGCTACCAAAACTGCAGTATTAGTTGATTTTTGTCTCACAAAAACTAAACAATAACCAAATTGTTTATTGTATCCCCATCTGGTTTAAATACCTATTATCCTGCACTTGCCCCCTTTTTTAATCTTCCATTTTTTCATTCCCCCAAAGTAATGTATTGTCTTCTTTTTTCTAATTTCAATTCATACACTTTCCAAATGTCATCAAGATTGAAACTTTTTACGTAATAATTTATAGCATTATTGAAATTATTGAAATGAAGATAAAAATGAAGGCATAATTTCCATCCATTTCATATCCAAAATTAGCCACTGTTAACATGGATAAAAAAAGAAGTAAAATAATTTACCTTGAAATATGAATGGACTAATGTAAATCAAATGTCTACCTTTTCATTGATGTGATTATCTCACTATTTTGTCAATACATTTACTGCAGAAATGTCCTGTTGACATTGATGGAAAAATCTATATTCATCAAAATATAATAGCATTTCATTGACAGAATTTTACAAAGAGAATCATTTAGCACAGACATATTGGAAACCATCCTCACAGTGTCAGGGGTCCTGAGTCCAGTCGTAGCTATGGAACCACGAGTGGACTTAGTACCCCTGACGTTGTGAGGGCGACTGCAAACGTAAATATTCTGAAATATAGAATTCTTAAATTCCAAGTGCTGCAAATCATAATTCTTGATTGCCTTAATGCATCGTGAAATTAATTCATTGATTCATGCTTTCCGCTTTTGAGGTTAAAACCAGGAACCTTCTACAATGATGACTTCGCTATAAAATTTTATAAGGTGTTATAAAGTAATATATGAATTACCATAATGCCCGCGACTAGTATTGGTTACAGTTAAAGTAGTCAACAGCCAAAGAGATAAACCCATAAAGGACCGAATAATCCTAAGCCTTGAAATTACATTTTATTATCTCAGAATAAGAGTTCGTGAAATAACATTTATTATATCACGAACAACCTATGAATGCGTATACATGTATATCAATGTCTACAATCTCTCTCCAAATGCTTAGTGGACAACAGAGGGTATTTTAACACCTTAATTATACAATAAGGGGATTAATGCTATCAATGGTCATTCAAAATAAAAAAAAAGAATGCAGAACAGAGGCCAGTCGCTTTGACAAGGTAGTGGGAGAACTTGTTTTTGATTTTCTTTGTTTAACAAAAGTGAGACACAAGTCCTTATCACTATAAAGATTTCAATTGAGTGTGGGAGTAGGACGCTATGTCCAATGGAATGTGGCAAGCGTTTACAAATGTCTTTTCATTCATGATGGTTGATTGGCCCTGCCCAATGTATGCAATACTTGTATTGCAAATTAACTTCTTGCAGGTGAAGTTTGAATTTTTGAGACTCGACAAATAACCCCACCCACGTCTCATCAAACAAAACTGTAATATTGACAGTTTATCAATCAGGCCAGTTGACCATTAGTCATGTGAAGATATGCAGCTTAAGTTCTCTAAACTAAGTATAAACATTTCTGTTAAAAGAAATTGACGTGTTATATCAAATATTTTACATATCTTTCAGCGAATTACCAGAACTGAGCCAACATTACCACACGGAAGAACAAGTATTTCACACAAATTTTGTTACCCTGTAAGCCATATAGCTCAGTAATACAATCTCACATCGTGTAGGTCTAATGTAAAACAAGACACCAAACGGTAGAAAAACAAAGATAAATGTCCCTCCAATAGGCCCTCATCTGCTTGTTTTTGTAAATACACATCGTGAACGATTCTTCACAAAACGTGTTCGGAAGATTCCGAGACGTTTTATCAACACAGATCAATCTACAGATGCACTTGCAAGTGATAGTTATAAACTTTCAGACCATCTGCATTGACGATTACCAATTACTCACGATTCTCTAATTAAGACAATGGTAAGAAAGCAGACATGGGTATATCAATTGATTTTGAAGTTCCGTCATTTTTTTTTTAACCGGACGAGGTAAAATTAAAGAACTTGTTTTTGCAGACACCGGTGTATTTACTTTGCAGATAGGGCTAACAGATTTAACAAGTTTTCCCCGCTATACCATCAGCATGTGGTTTTTTCGTAGGCAATTCAACTCGCTGCTTCGTCTTGTGTATAATAGAAAAGAAATCTACCATCTGTTTTAGCAATAAGTCTTCTGAATCTTAGCCTCTTAAAAATATAAAACTCAAATTACCAAAAGCGAAATCAACGGCCTTATCTCGTCCTAAAAATATTTATAATCTCTTTTTTTTCTTTTCAGATTAGTGGCACACCTAAAGCCAGTAGTAGTGTACCTGACAGGAGTTTAGATTAACGTTGTTAATCTTGTTTTACCTTGACAAATATGATGAAATTGCACAACGTGGAACGAAAGGTGTGTTAGATAGATACAGAATTGTAGACTTATAATGATAAATGAACCAGTGCATATCACGGCTTCTCTATCTGATTTCTGCTATGTAAACTTAAGGCTATAGAAGACCGAAAAACATAACTTTAAATAACACAAACATGTAAAGGTATATTTTTACCTGTCGTCACAATATCCACCTTAAATGCTGTTAAAGCTACGTAATGGCAAAATCTGGAAGGTCAACACTTACCACATGTTTTGCATGCTGCCTTTCTAATTAATCGTCCAGTCTGTTTCGACGCTAACACAGGGAACGCAGAAATTCTATAAAATGTACTAATTTCAGTCGTCACTTTTTTAATAAAAAAGAAATATTTTTTGTTTGATTTTGTTATGTTTGTTACACAATCACTTAAATTTTCCACTCCGAATTCACCAATCGTTAATCGTTTAGTTTTCTTTCCCTTCGGTAATAAACTGGCACCCTTTCTAACTTTTCGGATGGCCAGAGTCACATTGTATCTACCCTCCTCATTAGGAGGCATGATTTTGGTCACTTTCCCTTCCACCACAGCCCCGGCAAGGTACGCACTAGAGGCTGGGTCCGTAAATTTAGTACCACAAGTCTGACACCACACAAAAAACACACGTAATAAAAGTCCTAAGACGATGAATCGAATTCTGTATAACTTCATAGTTTTTCACTATAAACTCCGATCGTCCATACTGGTTATCCTCGCACGCTGTTCTGTTTACGATATGACCTCGATACGACAGACAGGTCTATTTTACCTGGGAAAGCCCCCTCAATGAGTGACGTACGTATTCTTTTCACTCGTTCCGCCTTTTTTTGTTTAATCTAATTATCATTAACAAAATTAACAAACGTCCGTCATTAGATTCCCTTTTCACTTCTATTAGATCAATTCGCTAATTTTACACAGTTCACTTATATTAATCAGGTTTAATATCGTTCCACTGGTGTTTATTCAGTTATATTTAATCCTGGGCTATGCTCTGATAAATTGACTTCCTATATTTATTTAGTTACCATTGTTTACGGAGATTTTTGTTGTCAATATTGACTCTCCTTTTTTTTGTAAAATATGAAAGTTACATGGTATATTCGCACATTAACTGCAGAAATTAACTCGAGCTCGTGGCGTTGAACCGGTGAATCTCTTAGCTGCTCACTGTTACTCTGTCGCTGCGGAGGAAAATCCACCGTCTTATAACCCCGTCCCTCCTGCTCGTACCATGCTTACACAACCACCTGCAAACTAGCGTAAATCGAACAAAAAATTTCCCTCAACTTTCTGTACAGTGCAGCAGCACGAACGTTGAATGATATTCTTTTTGATGTTTAAAATGGATGTAAAACAGATATTCCAATATGAATATCTATTTACTTGGAAATTTTGTTTAAATGCTATGAAAACGGATACATATGTACTTACTCAGAGGTTTTCATTTCCCCTCATCTCAAGTTCATGTCCATGGACTACTTTTTCATTCTTTATTCTTATTCAGTTACAATTTAACTGGATTTTGAGCCAATTGTACGCATTTTTGTATGTATTTACAATACAACACAAAAAACTCTTATGCCTCTAATGTATTTTATTTTATTATACGTCCGCAATAATTAAATGAATGTAAATCAATGTCCATTGGGAATTATTCAAAACAGTAGCTCTTAAAAATATGATATTGAATTTTTTTTCCACATTACATATTTCAAAGACATAACTCCATTTGCTGTGATACAACAAAAATTCGTAACTGCGACAACGCATCAATATTTGGCCGTTTCCTTGATCAAACATTGCATGCGAAGATGAAGCTAAATCCCAAGTCCCACAAAGCGGCAAAATCTACACAACTGACTGATAAAAAGAATTTGTTCAATAATATATGCATTTTTAATAATTCAGATCTGAATAAACTGAGAAATAAGGTCACCAATCTCCTTATAGTGTTAAAGATAAGCATGACGTTGCCATACAAACTTCAGACTGTTTATAAATAATTTCAGTTATCGATATTATTTGCGTTGGTGATCGTGCATTGTGTCTTTTCAAGTGATCAGAAAATCTATGTCTTGAGTTTTATCTAGTAACACGAATTCTGATTCTTATACGAAGTGTGTCACATTTTTGCATCATAGTAAGGGGCTAGGTAGAAGGAATGGGTCGCTGAGAGATTTTGCAAATTCTCTCTACGGACTTGTCCCTAGTTAATGTCTTCTTCACAGATATGATAATTATTTTTATCAATATTTAATCATGTTTGACCATTTTTGACACCAAGGCTACAAAACTCAAATTTAAATACATGTATAGTCTACTTTTGTAAATGAAAGAATTGCCTCCATGATTTTGCGGAAATGACTTTTTCGGAAGTGGATTATGGAATTACTTGGTGAAACTTCACAATACTTTGGACACCTTATCACAGAAATTTTGTGTAAATCTTGGAGATTGGTTTCTTTTTCTTTGTGTAAAAGAGTCGAAGAAGGTAATTTTACGTTATCACGTATTCTTCGTACCTTAAGTCTGTATTGTATCATGAAATCGGTCAATATGTTTGACGATCTAAAACTAAATGCGTCTCTTCTATGTCAAAACCATCATTCTTTGCACGAGAAACTGTTGTGCATGTAGAAATATGATTAAGGAAATGAAGCCCTTAACCCTAAACGAGATTGACCGGTAAGGCACCGATCAGAGAAATCGTTTTAGAAAACGGACCTCTAAATATATCCTCCGTTCAATTTTTATCAATCCGTCAATTGTGTACGCGAGATTTAATCAAACTTGATTCGTGTTTTCGTCTGATGGATAAAGTTAAGATGTGAATTGACTAGGGGGTCACGCCAAATGATGTATGATGTTAGTACCTTGGTGAGAAACCTGAATGTCGAATATCACGATCGAACGGGAAAGAGGCGTTAGCTGCTCTTTTCTTTACTAAAGAGGAGGTTGTCGTCTTCCGCTATTGACATTTGTTAAAAGGCGAAAAAGACCCAAATACCGAGTTTGAAGTCTAAGGTGTCTTTTTTTTTTAACTAATACGTTAGGAATTTTTTCAGCAATAAATTATAGATTGCACCTTTAATCGGTGATTGAGCATGATTTGTCTAGCATCGCCTGATTACCTCGATTTTATTAAAGTTCAATATAAACGTCTGGGCGTCGGCTTTGTCTAGAAGACCTGGAAGGGTGGTCGTAAACCACATATAAACGATTTCATGTATAGGATGTAAAAGGGTGGAAATGATGTGAAAATGCGCACATTTCTGGGACGGTAGAGGTAGGTTTTTAGGGTAAGCTATCAGACGCATAACTTATCGTGTTACGTAATGCAAAAGAAAAGGTACCAAACTGCGACATTAAGCGCATAAAGTAATATTGGGAATACATTATGAATTAGGCATAATGTAATTCTTTTTATTTTATTTTTTGCTTCATAGGCAGCTTCGTTTATCACGTTGTCCCCTCTTGCTTTTCTTTCCTCATTCTTTAGTCAAAGACGTCAAGTTATCTCTATGAGTTTTATCTAAAATGACACACCTTTGAAAAACCAAGATAATGTTGTGAGTATCATATGCATGTAGGAAAACACGAAAAAAGGGTTTATCAATATTTGAATATAAATTTGTAACCTAATTTTTTCTGTTATTCAAAAGTTCATTGATTTAGTGTTCATTAATCAAACACATTGATCTTTTAAATTTTCTAATCTTTCATATCGATAGGCACCTGTCAGTTTCGGTATTTGATCTACTAGACAAGCGATATAAATCTGTACTGATCAAACAAAGTTTTTTTTATTTCTTTATTCCACAACATTTGCAATGTGTGTATACTGACATTCTGTTTAAGACTGCATAATAGTGATATTTTTCTATTTTTGCATTATGATGTATAGAGCAACGTTCTGAGTACATACAGACAACGATTTGAGTCCATGGGAATCAGAAATCGCGATGTTGTTACAGATATAACGTCAAAATACACACCCGTAGGCTATACCTGACCTTTTTGTTTACCTATATCCGAATCTCATTCTCTATTTTCACAGTTCCATCATGTTCGCCAAACGCCTGAGTACACGACAGAAGTGATCATGTGTAAAACTTGTCGTCTGCTGCATAATAAAAATACAACATGATATGACGTAAAGCGCGTGGGGCCACGTAACCATGGCCCCGAACCTTTATTAAGAGTTTATGCTAATGTTTAATGGTTAGGTTCTTTACAGCTCAAATATCGTGATGCGATGAAAATGTCATTTGGTTCTTTTATAGATTGATTTTGAAGATTATCCCGGAGGATTATCTAAAAATATGCAGTATCACTCTCAGTTGTATCAGCCGGTGTAACGAAGAATTTTGACCCGGGTTGAAAATTGACCCGCCATTCATTTTTCAACGTTGAATATTGAACTGGAGGGGCTTTTTCACCGTTGATAATTGAAAAGAAAAGTTGTAAAATTTGTACCTAGTGTCCTTTTTCAACAGTTTTGTTATGTTTCTTCTTCTTTTTTTTTTCTCTTGGCACTTTGACCTCAAAACGTTGAAAATTGACCATGTTGAATATTTTCCATACTGCAGAGTTTTGTTTGTGTTTAGATGATTTGTATGTATCTAATATATATGTTTAGCAAAAGATACACGTCAGTGACAAAAGAAAAGACCTATATGGGACCGGGATTGCTTTTAGTCTTTACAAAAGGTTAAAAATCTCAAGGTCAGACGACACATTTCTCAATAATACCGTATAAGAGGAATTTTGAACGAGATGCAAATGTAGCAATTTATCCAAAAAAAAAATTGGTATATATTTTTAGCGAGAAGTAATTTTAGCGATTTTATAGCGTCAAGATAGATACAACAATCCGTACGGGTTAAATTGTTAGCGATATTTAATTTTAGCGATCTCAAAACCCTCGCTAATAATGCTAAAATTGAATCCTCGCTAATAATTCTGCTTATACGGTGTATAATTTTCACAAGAATTTGTCATCGGAGAATTGCTACTTTAACACGTTTGCTCACAAAATATTTAGACAGAGGCATTTTATGCAAGATTCCAGATGTTATTTCCTATATAATCCCATTGAAAATCACTTCTTAAGCTATTGGATATTACAATTTTTGGTTCATGAATGTATTTTTTTTTTTTAGACACTTTGAAAACAGTTCAGAAATCACAAATTAATACGAATTACGAATAATTTTAGCATTTTACAGAGATACAAAAACAGATATACAGTGAAAGCTGTATTTAACAGTCACTCCTGCGGGAACTATTCAAAGTGACCTTTATACAGAGGTGACCTTTGAATAGAGGTTATTCCCCAAAAACACGAATTCCCTACTAAGAAAGAAGAGTCATATTATATTTGAAGGGAAGCAGTCTGTCCTTGAAAACTGCCCCCCCCCCGAAATAGTTTTTTTTTTGTATTTTGTTTTTGTTTGTTTTTTGCTTGTCAAAAAAAAAAAAATTCAGGTTTCAATCCATCAACCCCCAAAACGTACCAAATTTTCTGATCCGCTACTGTCATATGCTTTGTTTTTCCTAAGGACTGAGAAATATGGTGTCACAAAACCCATTGTTTCGCAAGATTTTCTCGTCTCCATAGTTATATTTATCTACAAGGGATGCACCCAACGGTTTGAATCTTCGGCAAATTATCTTGAGTATCGTCGGACAGGAAAACGTTCAAGTAATTCTAGAAAAAATAAAAAAAAATAAGCAAAATATTAATCCAAAAGTATATAATTTTTTAATAAATAAATCGTAATAGTGAACATCAGTTCATTATAATTTGTTTTATGGTGTTGAATTTATACCCGGTTTGATGATCAAAATTCCGCGATGCGCTTCAATATTCAACGGGCAAGGGTCTAAATTCCACACTGTTTGTATCAATATTGAGTGTGAAAATGACCCCTCCGTTACAACCCCATACAGACTGAGATCATAA